TCCAAGTCAATGGGAGTGTAATGATATCATATTGTTGCCTGTTTGTAGGTATGAATTAAGGTAGAGGAAAGTTAATAGCGTGAATGTCATTGATAATAATAATAATACTAATGGTGCGATATGTATAACTACAAAGTGTAAGGGAAAAGGTATTCATGGAGCAGATAACATGACATTACAACTGAAGGATGTCAATTTTTTGTTGATATCACACATTGAATAAATATCATGGATAATCAATGAGGAGAAAGGTGAAGATAGGAAAAAAGGAAAAGGAAAGAGGAAGGAAGATAAAGATAAAATTGGAGCAACAGTCAAGTGATAAAAATGGGAGGGTGGGAGGTGGTAAGAGGAAGAGAGAAATGATGAAAAAGGATAAAAATGAAAGATTCAGGTTTATATTCTAACACTTTGAAAGCTTCTTCTTTTTTCTACTATCATCATCATCTTAGCGATCTTCATCTTGATCTTCATCCTCATCTTCACCAAACAGTCATCATTAACATAATGATTTTTTTACTGTTACAAAAATAAATGAAGATTGAACATGATCTTCGAGTGAATATCCAAGGGTAACCTCTTAAGTCAACTGATCGCAAAAGGAATCAAATCGAACCTCGTAATAGTTACAATGAGAAAAGTTCTAATTTATGGGCTTCGATTTTCAAATTAAAGATTATTATGATTGCTATTAAGATTTGAGGGATGTATTAGTATCTATTAAATGGATTTACCCATTAATCAAATGCGATTAGTTTGTTATAACAAGGGGTTAAAATCTAATGAGTAAAAAGAGAATGAGAAAAAACGTTTCAAGTAATTGATAATCATTAAGATTAAATCGATCAGGTTAATCTCAAGTATTGTACAACAGCAGCAGCTCAGATTTAAGATAAGATTTGAATATGAATGAAAAAAAGGTTACAAAATGTTGTAATACTGTTTCCCTCATATAGATGCAGAGTAAGGAGGGTATTCAAGAGGGTGGGAGATACATTTATTGTAAATTGCTGTTCATATTATTAGTATTATTATTGTTGTTGTTGTTATTACAATGAAAGCATCAACAGTAAACAACATTAAAACCATGTTTCTGTGGGTTATCCTGGATGAGGAAACATTGGAATTACCCATTTACTTCCTTTTCCTTTTTTCTTGTGTTCTTTTTTCAGTTATTCTGTTAGTTTTTGCTCTTTTTTGTTCATCATGAAAACCCATGAAAATAAGTAAATAAAGCATTAACCTTCTGCCTCATTACCTTTCAAATACACTTCACCAATCCTCTTCAACATCATTATCATCATCGCCAACATGCACACATATACAAAGCAACCGATAGAAAATAATACTCACAAACAACTGAATGAAATCTGATTCAGGGTGGAAAAAGTTCCAAAATCTCATTACAATGAATTCAAGATTTGTGAAGATACATGGGAAAAAAAGATGTTCTTTTCATGTAATTTCAATATCTATGAAGCATGAGAATTTCATTTTAATTATTCAGATTATCTTTCGGTTGATCACTTAATCAGCCTTTTTGCAAATTGTTATTAACTTGCTTACATTTAAAACAGTTCAATTAATTGGACTGAACAAATCATCATTTCATTATAGTCAATTAGACCTAACATGATATTAATTTAAATTAAATCAACGGATTAGTCTATTGGCTCATGATTATGCATAATCTTAATCTAGGAGCATTTGGAGTTAATTATGAAATTAGATTGTGTTACAAAAATTTTAGAAAAAAAATTTATTCCTAATCATGAGTAAAATAATTAACTCTCGTGAAATAATAAAATAAGATTAGTTGAATGAATGTTCAACTCTACGAAACAATTAAGTTGACTGATTCTGATAAATTGTTGTTTACCAAGCTAAGATTCTGTCTTCTATCATTTACCTCTCATGTTTATCATGAATTCTGATTTCAGATGCTGGATAAAAATAAATAACTGCCAAAACCTTTAGGATTGATAGAAACCATTTCTAAATCATTTCATCAGCGAGTCAAATATATTATACACTTTTGATTATTCTGAATGAGATGAAGGGAAAGTTTTCATGGTGAAAGAAAAGATTTTAAACAGAGAAAGAGAAAATTTTATTCCAAAGAATTAAGTTGGGAGTGAATTTATCTGAAAATTGTGAACATTTCCATTGGAATTTTGTGCAAATATATCATCAGCTTCACGGGGGAAATTCTGAAGATACACAAAAAATCTGACTCGGAATTTTAAGTAGTTTGAAAAGTCTTCTTCAGGTTAATTTATCAAACGGAATAGGAAAAAGTAACTGTAAATATTGTAACAATCAGCTCCTTCCCGATGTTTACCATTATTCATAAGGAACAATTTATGTTGAGGTTCAACGTTTTAACGTAAAAACATCATTAGAGTCTCAATGATGATCTTTGGTGAAAAAATCAAGCCTCAAATTTCATGGAAAGATAACTAATCAACTTTGATATTCAATTGAATAAGATAAATTTTCTATTTCGTCTCATGCTCGATAATAATAAGATTAGCACGATAAACTTATTCAAATAGTTCACGTATCGAGCCATCAATTGAGAGAGGAAAAAGATCGAGTACAATCAAAAGTTGATGATGAAAAACTACTCATGCATAATTAATTAACTGAACAGTTAACTTAAGTTAATGTCAATGATATACATTGAAATTACAAAATGAACCAGTTAAAGGTATTCAAGATGAAATGGGATTAGTTAATTAAGCAACAATGAAACAGTAATTACATTGATTAATCAACAAGAGATTAAGTTAACCAGTCAAGTCTTAAACTATTAAATAGACTCTTGACCATGATGATAAAAAGACAATCAACTGATCAATATAGAAGATAATCTGATGATGATTATAATGTTTGGCGTTTAGACCATCAATTCTGTATTGGTAATCGTAAGGGAAAACTTTTAAAAGTTGTAATTAAAACTTGAAATGTAATTAAAGTTCAGCATAAAAGTTTACTCAATAGATTAACAGTTTTAGCTTTAGTTTTTGAAGGAAATAATTGTTGTTACAATTATTATCCATCTTATTAGTAGATAGAGAGAGAGAGAGAGAGAAATTAAGGAATCGGAGAAGATAAAATTAAAAATAGACAGAGAGATTAACAGGAGTAGAAAGAGCAACTTTAAAGGGGATTTGTTATTATTTCTATCTTTGGATATGTGAATTATGTTTTCTAATGCTAATTATCCTTGAAGGTGAAAGTTTAACAGTAAACGGCTGTCAACAGAGTAAACAAATTAGAACAGTTAACCAATGTTGTTTGTTTATTTTAGATTGTAACGGTTATTGGGTTACATTTGGTTCCAGTTAACAACTTCATCAACAACAACAATAATCGTGTATGTACACAAAGTCCTTCAATCGAGATACATTTTGGTGTAAAAAGTACCATTACTTTTATCACGATAATTGCTTTGGGTTGGGTCATTGTAGCTTCTCAATTTAGTAATGATTTAAGAGCAACAATTTTGAGTGAGATAATAATTTACATCAAAATTGATCACTTAGTTTAATCGACAATTAGTAATTAGTGTAAATTTCATGCAGCTAATTTTACGGTTTAATTGTAACATTCAAGTTGAAACATTGTCAAGATACTAAATAGTCAAAAGTTCTGGTCAGTCAAAATGATCGAATTGAAATTAACCAGATTTCAAAAGTTGATTGTTAATTAATCAACAAGTTGTTAATCTGGTTAATCTTTCCAATCAACAGATTAGTTGGATAAGTTTTTTATCGAGTAAAAAACAAAATTTAATTCAATTATGATAATCGTTATTTTCGTGACTCTGGATCAATTTAATTAGATTAGATTATCACTCTATCGTTATCCATCAATAGGATTGTTTTGACACTTGAAATTCATTCTGATGTTGCATGATAACTTAATTACATGATATTTGCTGACTGTTAATTTCAATGAAAATAATTAAGATGAAAATTGTCACCAAGTAATCATCTTAATCTATGAATAATTAAATTGCAAGATGAATTTAATTGATGAAATTATCATGAGAATAGAAACCACAAAGTTAACATTCCAACTAATTTACAGTTAGATGATAACATCGGAATTCTCAAATCACCCTGATTATGAGAATAGTGTTCATGATGATTACATGGCGATGATGAGTTAAAGGTATGCGAGGTTAATGTACGAAGAGAAAATTTCGAAGTCATTTTGTCGTTAGAAGAAAATTCTGCAAATACGAAATCTATTATTATAATGAAAGAAGAAATTTACTTTGAGAGAGAAGGAAAATTCTGCTGATAATCATAAATTTATCTCGATTTGTTTATCGTTGATAAAGTGGAAATATTTTCATGCAACATAATTTACTCAATTGAGACTATTTATTATCATGAAAGTTAAGGTGAAATTTATTCACATTGGAAACCAGAGTGAATACATATTTTCACCTAAGGGTAAACATTCTGATAGTTATACAAATATGAAGGTGAAATAAGTGACACGAACAAAAAAGAGAAACAGAAACAACAATCATTGAGAGTAACATGAAATTTGCATAAACTCGCTGTCTAAACTTAATTTGATTGATGATTTTCTATTGAAATCATCATCTGATAATCAACGTTTATCATGGTGAGTAAATAGGTTAAACACTAAAGTATTTAAACAATAACAATTTGACACATTGGATAAAGAGGAGCACGTATTAGATTCATGGGAACACATGGAAAGGAAAAAGAAATTAATTGAAAGAGAGAGAGAGAGAAAACTGGACACCCTAATCAATAAAATGGACGCAAAGTAATTTTGATAGACAAGGTAAAGTGATTTTGTTTGGTAAATCATTAATTAATTTTACATTTAGCTCAACAACACACACACACCACTTTGACAAATGGATTAACACCAAACATATTATGAAAATTGTAAACCGGCAAAGAGAAAAAGAGATTAATCAACAATAAATGAAGTAATTAATTAACACTTACCTAGTAAAATATCACAGATGAAAACGTTAAGACAATTGGATAGAAAGTATATTAAAGTCACACAAAGAGCAACAAGAGTCACAATGACAAACAGTTAAAGAGAAAAAAGCTCAACAAAAATGGCGGATAAAAGTTAGACAACAAGGGGAACAATAAAGAGACAATCAACTGGAACTTGACCCGATTGGGATGCAATTAATCGGTAAATCACTGAAGACCATGGTGGTAATGAGAAGATGATTAACCCAATTGTCGACAATTAGTAAAACGTCAGTTTGTGGTTAAAGATACAATTTAAATACAATGTCACAAGAAGAAAAGAATAGAAAAGAAAAGAAAAATTGAAAAAGATCAACACACAGAAAACTCTGGAAGGTTAACAAAAGGTAATTCAAAGAAAGGTGATGATGTTAATTAGACAAAATCCATTTAAATTGTTTTCTTTTTGTTTCGATTGATTAAATTTTCCATTGACACTTTCACTGAACAATCAAATAATCAAGTTAATTTGAATTACTGTTCACATTTGTGACTTACAATGTGAACGATTGATAATCAACATTACATAATTTTACAGTTGCGTCGAAAAGAAAGAGAGACAAAAATTCTACGCAAACGCTCCACCTGGTGGAAGAAAATGAAACTAACTGCAAATTCTTTTTCCTCTAAGATCAATTTGTTTCTACAAAGAGTTTTTTGTCTCTTTGTAAAATAGTTGCAATTTGTTGTTCCATTAATTTAATTAATCCATTTTTTTACTAATCACTTTTTAATCTTTTCTAATTGTTCCATTTTGTCATGATGTCATTTCGGTGATAACATTCAGTTCATTTGTTAATCTGGTTGAAGGTGGGACCAGACTTTGTTTGTGCATCTTCTTTGTGTCTGTTTACATTGATTCTTGTTTTGTATTAACTGAATTTGTTTCTGAAAAAAAGACCAACCAGAATTCAATTCAATTTGTTAATTTGTTTTAATTACTGATTTTAGGTTTGTTTCTGTCATTAATTAACGACGATTCTTTGACTGTGATAAATTTGACATTTCATCTCTAACGTTTATAGTGAGGATTTCACATTCTTTTTTTTTGGTAAGATTTTGTTCATCTGATTTGCTTTTCTATCTCTACAATCTTGGTTACTAATCCTTTTCATTTGTTTCATTAATCATTTTGTTTTTTGATTGATTGTCGATCATAATTGACTCATTGTAATTGAATTATTGTTTACTAATGGTTAGTCTCAATTGGAAAGATTTTACCAATTGTTTAACTATTTACAAGCTGTGATAGAGACAAAGTTATCAACAACATGGCGACGATCAGTGGTAATCTCATTTGCAAGATTTTCTATGATCTCATTTTGTGTTTTGCCAGTAAGTATATTCATTTAATTTGTCTGATTTTCTTGTAATATTTATAATTAACTAATGATTCAAATGTTTGTTTAGCATTTTTACCATTCTTCATTTTGGCTCTTGTTGGAAGTCCATATCGCCGAGGCTTTTTTTGTGGAGATGAATCGATTCGTTACCCTGTTAGATCATCGACTGTCAGTTCAAGTGAACTCTACATGGTATCAACCGTTCTGATCTTATTGATTGTAAGTGGAAAATTTATATTCAAGTTTCCTCTGATATTAATTCTTTTTAATTTTCTTTCGTCAAGATTATCGGCACAGAGTATTACCGATTACCCCGAATGGTCCGAGGGCAACAAGCATTGAAACAATACAGTTGGACACTTTATCACATCCTAATTTTATTTGCTTTTGGTGCTACTGCGTCGGTATCGATTACATCGGTCGCAAAATATACGGTTGGGCGACTCAGGCCACACTTTCTAGCTTTATGTAGACCTAATATAACATGTGAAGGAAGATCTCCAGTTGAATATATTGAAAATTATGTGTGCACTTATGAGAATTCTGATGCACGAATGTCCTTTTTCTCAGGTCACTCGTCTTGGGCCGCTTATACTGCAGTCTTCATATCGGTAAGTTGGATAACTTAAGTTGAATGAATAAACAATGTTAATAACGTTTCTTCCATTGATATAGATGTATCTCCAATCAAGACTTCGTTGCCCAAAATTAGTACTTTTGAAATCGCTCTTACAATCGTTAGCCTTTTATTTGGCTTTATACACTGCATTAACTAGAATCTCTGATTACAAACATCATCCAAGCGATGTTGGAGTTGGTCTCATTGTTGGAGGACTAACAGCTTATTGTACAGTTAAATGGGCTGCTGATGATCTGAAGTTGACCACATGGGGATGTTTAACTCAAAGACAAAACCCTGAAGACAATGCTCTAATTCAAGAGAATAATCGCTCATCTTATTCAGCAATCGAATCGGAGGAACAATGAATCAATAATCTTCATTTATTCTTGTATCTACGGAAACTTATTTAGATATTTGGTTCTATTAACAATTAAATCTCAACTCTTTACAAATTTTCTAACTCCCCGTTTATCCTCTAACCCTTCGGCTGATTTAGCTTTATGTTTTTCGAAATTCACTTCGAATTGTTTCCAATCAACCTTCAAACTCCTTGTCGAAGCCATTTTGTCAATCATGAAAGTCGAAGCTCCTCCATTGAGAAACAGATCGAAAGCTATTTCACCGCTAATTGTTGTTTCTTTCTTCGAATCAAGTCTATCAGCAATTTTTGCGAACATATTGTTGGCCCTATTAATTATTTCGTTGGCTAGTGAAGATTCCCGTTTAATTGTTGATCGGATGGATTCCATTTTCATTGGAACTTCTGAGTAAAAATCGCCAAGATTATTTCCAACTTGTTGAGCCAATTCAAGAAGTACTTTCTCTGGGTGAGAATAGTTGAAATCGTACAAAAGATGAACGAAAACTTTTCTAAAAAGCTTTCGAAAATGTCTCCCGGCATCTTTGGTTCCAGGTTCTAATCCATCGGCAAGAGAGATTGTTATCATTCTCAAATGATCGGCAATTATTCTGTAGGCAACATCGCGTTGGTCAGTAAGTGACCCTCGATAAGGCTCACATTCAGTCATCTAAAGAAATGGAAATGATTGAAATTCAATAAGTTGTTTCATTCCAATTCCATGAAAAGTTGATGATGAAAAACTGGTCAACAGTTAACGTAAGTAAATGTCATTGAGAAAAGTTTAGATGATCAGTTTTCTAATGGTAATTAAAACTCGAAATGTAATTAACCTACTTTGGAGATTGTATCGAACAAAGGTTGAAACAGATCAGTGTCGTAATTTGAATTGACACCATTCAGAACGGAGGTCATTCTTTCCAATCCCATTCCAGTGTCCACGTGATTGGAAGACAATTTTTCAAGATTTCCAGTTTTATCTCTGATAATAAAGATGAAAGAGATTAGATTAAATTAAATTTCTATTACATCGGTGAGATTGACACACTTATTGTATTGCATGAAAACGAGATTCCAAATCTCTAAGCAATCGCCGAGAGAACGTGATTGTGGTTCCAATTGGAAATGAATCTCTGAACAGACACCACATGGACCCGATTCTCCCATTTCCCAGAAGTTTTCCTTTACCCCTAAGGGTATAAGACGATCCTGCGGTAAACTAATCAATTATTACTGAGAAGGAACTTGAAGAAAATCAAATTAAAAACCAACCCAAGGGATAACCAGATTTCCTTGGTCTCTTCGTCTTCAGCAATTGAGAGCTTTTCATCACCGGAAAAGTATGTGATCATCAATCGTTCAACAGGTAATTTGTATTCGTTTGTTATCAAGTCTAAAGCCATGGAACAAGCTTCTTTCTAATGATCAGAGAAAACAGGATTAGAACCACTGATCAAATCTTTAAGAATCCAAGAGATTAACTAAATCAAGTTCTACTTTACCTTGAAGTAATCGTTGAAAGACCAGTTCCCAAGCATCTCAAAGAAGGTGTGATGTCTCAAATTGTAACCAACCACATCGAGATCATTATGTTTACCACCAGTACGAATGCACTTCTGACTAGAAACCGCTCGTTTGAGATGATTAAATTGATGATTATCTCCAATTTTCCCGATGAAAATATCCTTGAATTGATTCATTCCTGCGTTGACAAAAAGTAAACTCGGATCAGGTGAAACAACTGAACTACTCGGGATGAACTGATGTCCATGTTTGTTGACAAAATAGTCGATGAAACACCGACGTATCGACGACGATGTCCATTTACCAGAAACAATTGTCATAATAATTAACAGTGAAATCGGTTAAAAGAAAAACAAAATCACATGTTGAGAAGAAAAATTTTTCTTCTAATTTTTAGTTATCTAAACACTCATGAGATGGCGACACTTTCATAGAAATAAATTGTTGCAATTAAAATCTAATGGAAATATCAACAGATCTAATTGAATAGTTTCCAAACAATTAAGGTAAACAATCAATTACTTTTCTATTTTTCTAAATGACTGCGAGAATGATCAATTTGATTAGACAGAATTAGTAATAATTAAAATTACAAACAACAAGAAAAAAAGACTTTTATTTTCACGAAACCATAATTGTAATCAAATGATTTTCAGTTAATTAGTTAATCATTTGTGATGTTAGGCTTGAATTGAAAGTTGAAATTGTTACTTTTTTTTATTATGAGATGATGAGAGTTGAATTAAAATCAAATGAGATTTTCAATGAATTTATAATTAGAACACAATCCAAGTTAATTAACCAGGATTAAAATTTTTCTCTTTCCAAGATTTTAAATTTCCTCTGAACAACAATCTTGAGCTCGAATGGAAAACAAATCTAATCCTTTTTCGGCTTATTTCGGATGAAAAACACAAGGAAAATCGTATAAAGTATGAAGGCGACAGTCACGGCAATCAAACAGTACATGAAGATGCTAATTTCCGGGTGTCGATATCGGTTCTTTCGAAGCCATTCCAGAACTTCCTCCTCCTTCATTAAATCTCCTGAGGGCATGAAAGGAAAAAAGTTATTAATCTAATTTGATTATTCCGACATGGTGAATATACGAACCTCTGTACATTGAAGGGAATCGTTTACGGAAGAAAACTAATGATGGAAGTGCAACTATTCCGTATTTTCGAGCATATCGAGGGTCACGAATTTTAACGAACATTATGTCCAAATCGTCGGCCTCATCGTCGATTCTTTCGAGTTCTTTCAGAACTTCTTCACAATCGTAACAACCATTTTCGTCTAAAGGTAATGGATTGAAAAAAAGATTAAGATACAATCGGAATAGTCGAGTTTGAACTTCGTTCTTACAGAAATAAACGGCGACAAAATCGTTCTCCGTTAATATTTTGTCGAGCATCTTCCTGTTGACCTCTTCGATTTCATCTTTCAATTCGAAAACATCTTCACTGGTCAACCATGAAAGGACTTTTTCTTCTTGCATCAAATCGCCATCATAAAAGATTGGAATCTTTTTCCGGAAGTAAGCAAGTGAAGGTACTTGGTGAGCTTTATATTTTTGAGCAGCATTTTGATCATTAACTTTGACAAAATCGATACCATAATGGTCAAGTTCATCGTCAATTTGTTCCAATTTGTTAAGAGTCTCTGGACACTCTATACAATCATCATCGTAAAAGAATACGGCCAAAAATGGAGATTCGTCTACGAGTTTATCCAACATTCGTCCATTAACATCTTCAATTTCATCCTGAAGTTCCCGATTGTCATCATCGATAAGCCAATCGAGGACAGAATCCTCATTACGAAGATCACCTTTAGGAAGATGATTAAAAAAAAGATAAAGAGAGCAAGTTAATTTTCGGTCAACTATTAATTAGTAATCTTAATCAGTACCATCAAAAAGAAGTGGATTTCCATTTCTAAAATACATCAAGGCTGGAAAATTTCTGATTCCATATCGTTTCGCCAAGGGAATGTCTTGAATCTTTACCATGTGAATTCCGTAGATATCACATTCATCGTCGATATGTTCTAACTCTTCTAGTACGATATCACAGGCTCGACAGTGAGGTTTGTCTGTAAAAAGCACAATCAAAATAATGAGTCTTTAAATTGTCACCAACTGATCAACTAAAAGTCCAGCAAAAACTTACAGAAAAAAGCAACTAAATAATGTGACGATGAGATGAGTTGTCCAAGTAGTTCACGATTAACTGATTCAATTGTGTCTTCGGATCTTTGTTGAATTAACCATTGAAGGACATCCTCTTCCGCCGATATGTCACCAGAATAAACCGATGCTGTACCTTTCTCGAAGTAAATTAATGAAGGAAATGTTTTACATCCATACAATTCCGCCATATCAGCATCTTTGGTCTTGACAAATGCGATCCCGTGTTTATCGGTATCCGTGTCAATGTTTTCCAGGTCATCTAAAACGGCTTGACATTGTTCACAGTCGTCCGAGTCTATTGGTTACCAATCGATTCATTTACATGAAAGGATTCAGGGTGGGACAAGGTAAGGAGGAGGAAGGAGGGTATGATCACAAAGAGGGTTCAACATTTTCATTGGTTGTTGGGAACACAAGGAAAAACATACAAACCAAATCAATATGATATCACAATAAGAGCGCTTTGTAATTTTAATCACGAATGATTAACCTAATTGTTTACTAGCTTTCAACTTTCTGATCAATGTAAATATTTACACTATTATACAAAAGCATAATGGTGCAAATTGGTTGATTGTTAACGATAAGAAACTTTCAAAATCTTATATCAATAAGATTTTGTTTCTACCTTTTTCTAACTAATACATTACTTAGATTGTCCAATATAATGTATTAGCATTGATTGTTGTTTAATTGTTATCGATTGTAGTTGATTTACTTACAGAAATAAACTGCAACATGGTCTTGAGTTGCCAAAAGTTTTCGTAATATTTTTCCATCGATCTCCTCGATCATGTCCAAACTCGGATCTTTCATCGATATCAACCATTCTAGAATTTTATCAGATTTCTTGAGGTCACCTGGAGGGTAAACAATCAATTTGGAGGATGAAAGAAAAGACAATCAATAAATCAAAGCGAAAATAAGCAAAACAAGATGATAACGATCATTAATCAAACGAAAACTAATGTTTATGTTTAGCTAACTGTTGATTTTGCTGCGAATTGCGTTAAATTGATTAATTACCAGGATAAATGATGGGATCGTTTTCATCTCCTTTCTTGAAGAAAAGGAGAGCTGGTAAAGCGAAAACACCGAAAGTCTTTGCTAATTGTACGTCTTCAATTTTAACGAACTTGATTCCCGCTGAATCTGCTTCATCGTCGATCTTTTCGAGTTCGTCAAGTGCTCGGTCACATTGTTTACATTCAGTTCTCGAATAGAATAAAACTGCTAGATAATTAATTCGACCCAAGAGACGTTCAAACATTCGTCTATTAACTCGTTCGATTGCATCTGATGATTCCATATTCTCAGGTCGGGTTAACCATTCTAGTACTTCTTCCTCGTCGAATAGATCACCTTCGTATTTCAAAGGTTTTCCTCGGCGGAAAAACACTAATCCTGGTGGATTTCGAATTCCGTATTTTTTAGCAATCAGATTATCGGATATTTTAATCAGTTCGACTTCATAATCTGAACAATCGTCGTCGATGTTTTCTAAATGCTCAAGTATTTCCTCACTTTCGTCGTCGTTTGTTTTGTAAAATAGCACAGCGAGATATTCTTTCTCGTTTATTAGTCTGAATAAAATTTCGCGATTCACGTTCTCAATTGTATCTTCGTTTTTCTGCTGAATCAACCAATCTAGAACTTCTTCTTCGATGGTTAGATCGCCCTCGTAAATTGACGGAGAACCATTTTCGAAATAAACCAAAGAGGGTATTTTTGTGATTCCAATTTCCTTTGAGAACTGAAGGTCACTCGTCTTGACGAAATGAACTCCGATTTCATCAGTATCATCGTCAATCTTTTCTAACTCTTCTAGAACTTTGTCACATTCTGAACAATCTCCCTCATCGTAGAAAAAGACAACAATATTTGGAACATCTTCGATTAAAACTTGTAACATTTTTCGATCAACTTGTTCGATAATATCTTCTTTTGATCCCTTAGAGTCAATCATCCACTGAAGAACCGCATGTTCGTCCTTCAAGTCACCTTCGTAAAACTGAGGGAATCGATTCTTGAAAAATATGAGTGCTGGAAAGACGGCAACATTGTATTCCTTTGCCAGGTCAGTGTCTTCAATACGAACAAAGTCGATATCAGCTGATTCGGCAATGTGATCAATCTTTTCCAATTCTGTAAGTACTTTATCGCACTCAGAACAACCCTTGTCCTTGATGAATAGAACGGCAACATAAGATGACCTGGCCAATAGTTTATCCAACATTTTCTCGTTCAATTCTTCAATCGAGTCCCGTGAAGACAAGGCCTCTTCCGAAGTGACCCATTTCAACACTTCATCGGGTTTCTTCATGTCTCCATGGTAGACCGTTGGTTTGCCGTTTCGGTAAAGAACCAAACTTGGGAAAGCGTTGATTCCGTTTTTACGAGCCAAGTTTTCATCATCAGTAGTAACGAAAAGGATTCCGTGTTCATCAGTGTCATCGTCGATATGTTCAAGGCCAGTTAGAATGTCTGAACACTCTTTACAGTTATCGGGTGCATAGAAAACAAGAATATAAGGTGACTCCTCAATAAGATCTTCTAAAATCTCCTCGGTAACCTCTTCGATTGTATCTTCGGTTTTTTGTTTAATCAGCCACTCAAGTGCTTCTTCCTCTTTGGTAAGATCACCTTCGTACACGGTGGGCAGTTTATTCTCGAAATAGACCAGAATAGGAAGTTCGTCCATTAGTCCATATTCTTTGGCCAATCGATCGTCGTCAATTTTAACCAAGGGGATATCATATTTATCGGCGTCATCGTCAATATTTTCCAATTCTTTCAGCACGGTGGCACTTTTAGGTGAATCTCGATCGTAAAATAGGACTGCCACTGCATCGGCGGTTGAGATAAGTGTCTCTAGAGTTTTCGAGTTTACATCTTCAATCTCAACGGAAGCTTGTTGTTCAATCAACCACTTGAGAACTTCTTCTTCTTTGGTCAGGTCACCTTCGTAAACAGCGGGAACCTCATTCTCGAAAAAGACCACAGCGGGTAACTGATTCTTCAATTGATATTTTTCTGCTGCTTCGAGGTCATCAGTTTTTACGAAAACAATATCATTTCGATCACAATCATCGTCAATATGTTCTAACTCTCTAAGAACCTCAGCCGTCTTTCGATTAGAAGAATCGTAAAATAGAACTGCAATATGAGCTGTTCGCTCGATAAGAGAGTAAAGCATCTTATCGGAAACCTCTTCAATCTCATCAGAATTCAATTGCTTCTGTAACCAGATTAGAACTTTTTCTTCCTTTTCGAGGTCACCATCATATAGATTAGGAATTTGTTTCTCGAAATAAACCAAAGCAGGTAATTCATCATCGAGTCCGTATTCTTTGGCCAAAGCGGCATCGTCAATCTTGATGAACGGTAATCCAAGTTTATCACAATCGTCGTCAATGTTTTCCAATTCCTTGATTGCATCAAGTGATTTCTGATCATCTTTATCGTCTAATGAAAACGAGTCAAGGGAATATGTTAATTGTTACAATAAACTATCAATAGATTAATTTACTAATCATCATCTCGAATGTATCAATAGATATTGTTGTATCTTTTTCCAACTGTAAACAATTTTATTTTGACCTACTTTTAAATATATAACAAGGACTCTAGTTGTTTCCAATGGTTTAACTTTAGACAACAAGTAGTGAGTAAAATTAATAGTAGTTAATAAGTTCGAGCAAATTTCAACCTTGTTAAACTAATCATTCAGATCCAAATACACCTTATTAGTGACTATTTATAGCTTATCGATGATCATCAATACAAATCAGTCTAAATTGAGGATATAACGAGAAAAATTTTACTCAAATTGGCTTGAAATCTGATCATGTACACAAATGGTGTCTAAATTAACCTCAAGTCTTTGTCACAGTTAAGACGATTCAAGAATTCATTGAATAATTAACATTCTTTGCCATTATTATACTAGAGGGGATGCTAATCATAACTGAATTAAGATTGAAGTCTTTTCAGTTCTCTACAATCAAATCGATTGATTAAATAACAATGGATACTAATGGTGATGGATGATGAAGATTGATGTTGTCAATCAAGCAGATAAACTTGAAGATTATTAAATTGTTGACAGAATTGTCGATAATCAGTTGATTGAATTTACTTACAGAATAAAACAGCAACTTGTGATTTGTTGGCAACCATTTGATGAAGGACAACATCGGAAACATCTTCGATCTCATCTGAAGCTTGTTGATGTACAAGCCAGTCGAGAACTTGATCTTCTTTCGTTAGATCGCCCGAATAAAAGTTCGGTATCTGAGATTCGAAGTAAACCAAACACGGCATTTCGTGATTATCGATACCAAACTGTCGAGCGGCTTCACGGTCAGTAGTCTTAACGAAAAGCATTCCATGTCGTCGACAATCGTCATCAATTGTTTCCATTTCACGAAGGACAAGTTTACTCTTCTCTTGAGTGTCATCATCTAAATGGACAATTGAACAACTAATTAGTTAATTGTTCAACGAAAGGAAATGAAAATCTATTCGATTCTTACAGAAAAGTACAACCAGAGAATCTGATTCTTCGATGAGCGATTCTAGAACTTTAGTGGAAACATCTTCGATCTGTGATTCTTTGTCATCTTCTTCATCGGCAGTGTCTCGAAAATCAAGTAGCCAATCAAGAACTTGCTGTTCATCTTCCAGGTCACCTGAGAACGGAAGAGAATCGAAAGTTAACAAATTGAATATCGATAAACTAGTTCGACGGCGAATTACCTTGATAAACTATGGGAATTCTTTTACGATAATATACCAACGCCGGTAGATCTTCGAGTCCATATTCAAAGGCCAAACTTTGATCAGAAATTTTGACGAAACTGATCCCTTTTCGAGCGGCATCATCATCAATCTCTTCCAATTCATGTAATACTTTTTCACACTTTTTACAGTTATTTTTATCTGTTGAAGTTAAGCCAAGACGATGAAAAGTAAATGGGAAGATGAAGATGATGAAAATAAAAGAAAAGGAGGAGAAAAATTTTAAGACAAAAACAAATGAGTGAAAAAATTTCAAACAGATTAACTTAATCCCCACTGTGATTAACGAGTGATTAATCTTCATTTATATGTAATTTCAACTAGAGGAAAGTTTTGTTGATATTGTTCAGCATTTTGGGTTTGCAGTCAATTTGATTGTTTCACATGATTAATTTAGCTGGACAATTAACCATCTCCCAAATCTTGAGCGTTAATTGATGAACGTGATGAAATTATTCACCACTGATCAACATGATTTAACCCTTAAGATTGTTCAATGCAAATTAAATTGTCGCAAAATTAAACAAATTAATCAGTGAGAAAAGTATTGATCAGAAAGTTGATATTGGGATTAATGCATGATTCAAATTGTAATTCATGATAATCTAACAATTTAAGCGCTCTTATTGCTAATACCTATGTTAGATTAGGCAAATACTTGTAACAATTAGGATTTGGATTTGGATAATCAATTGATAATAATAAAAAAAATAACAACAATAATAACAATTGACACAATTTAAAGGATAGGAGATGAAGTGATTTGGATTGGAGGTAAATTGTAGCTAGAAAGAAAGGGAAATTAACAATTAAACTTCATTTGGATTGGTAAATTGTCGTGGTTTTTATCATAATTAGATGTTAATTGTTACTCACAAAATAAAACTGCTATGTATTCATGGGTATCAATATATTTCTGAAGATTTTTGGAATTAACTTCTTCAATTTTTTCAGGAGAATCCAATGAATCGATTGAAATTATCCATTCTAATAAACTTTCCTCTTTTTCCAAGTCACCTGATAATCAATAAATCAAAAGAAAAAATCAATTAGTTTCACTTATTCAGGTAAATCAATGAAAGAAATCAGTCAATTATCACTGAGCAATTAAACAACACAAAAGTCTCATAAAAATCCCAAAGACAATTTCGATGTCACTTCAATATTGACCAAGAGAAAGACATACAGATCTCTATGTATAGAATTAGTTAATTGTAATCAACTTAATTGTTATCATACCTTCGTAAAGTGTAATCTCCTTATTCTTGATATAAGCCAAACAAGGGAAATCAGTTACATCAAATTTTTTGGCTGCTGCTCTTTCTGATGTTTTGATGAAACTGATTCCAAGTTTATCGACATCTTCATAAATCTGATGACAATTGCGAAGGAAAAGAAAACAATTAATTCAATTGTAATCATCAATTACTTTCTCCAGTTAATTACCTTTTCCAATCCATGAAGGAGATCTTTACATTCTGTGCATGATCGTGTATCTGTAAGTATATAAATGAACGCAACAATTAACAAACTTTGAAGAATTGCGATTTAGAACATTTGAAAAATTTTCGACTTCGAACTTTAAATTTTGAGTGATGAACAAAAAAATATGATACAGTTAATGTTGAATGATACGAGAGATAAAATAAGTTTCCCTCTCGCTGTTACATTTGATTGGCAACATTTGGCACTAATTTAACTTAAATCAACTCGAATATAATTAAGCAACAATTAACTGATATTATTACCAGAGAGCTGATAGTTTGTTTATCCTTAACAAGAAACCTTGGTATCTCAAGTCGCTTGTTTTTCTGGTTCACAAACCAGAAAACCCAAAAATAAATCCAGTTAACCTTTACCAATACGAACAACAATTAACAACAATCAACTATCAGTAAATATGATGATGATTAAAAGATACCGTTAATGTGAATTAATAATAATAATCCTTTAACATGATCACAAGTCATTGTTGTTAATTGTTTTCATTGGTAAACAGTTAAGATTGACATTGATATTTGTTAACAAGCAATTAAGGTCAAATTGTTAAGCAATTCCAATGGTGATGATGATTAGTTAATTGTCGATTTACTTACAAAAGAAAACAGCAAGTGTAGCACCGAAATCAACTGAATTTTCAAGTTCTTTGGCACTTAATTCCTGAATTAACTCCGAGGGAAATGGTTGCTTTCGAGCATAACAATTAGGATTATCACAAATTAATATAAAAAGAGTTAAAATTAATTGTAAAATTTTGTGTGGATAAATATTCCTACTATAGACTCGGTGTAACTTCATGTCATTGAAATGGAAACAATTAAATACATGAATAGAAAATTAAATCAATCGGATGGTTGATTGATGGAACAGAAGAAAACAAATCGCGAACAATTAAGACGAGAGAGAAAAATGGTTAATAGACACAATTAACTAATACGAATGATTAACAAGTACGTGGTTAACACGTACTCTAAACGGTGATGAACGTGAACTCGAGATGATGTATTAGTATCACAAAGTTTTCTCAATGAAGATGAAGATGAAGAGATCACCAGAAAGTTGATTGTTGCCTAATTTTTGGTGGAAAATGTTGATTAAATTTCTGTTTGTTGATTGAAGATGAAAGGGAAGGAAAAGAAAGGCAAAAATCGAGAAGAAACTGGAAATAGGATGAAGATGATAATTCGAAGACAAAGTTCTAGGGATGATGTTCTATTCCAGATTCAATCCAAATTTAGTTGTAACAACTAAAAGTTATATTCGTAGCTTATTCTCTTTCTCATCTTCATACGTAACATTTTCTCCCTCTTTATCTTCATATTCTTTATCATCTTCATCTTCTCTTCCATTTGAATCCTCCCAGTGTCACAACTTCCGTTCTACTCCATCGTCAACCATAATATGAGCTCCTCTTAAGTCAAACGTTTGTCTCTCCTTTTTATTTTCATCCTAAAAGAATGAGGATCAAGATGAAGATGAAGATGAGGTTAATTAACGCAGGCTTAACATGTTGCCAGCTTAAAAGTGGATTAAGATTAACTAGGGGAGTCAAGTTTTGTTTCTTGTTATGTTGTTTTGTCAGTGACAATGAATGTTAATACATATCAGTTGAAGGATTATAATTCAGTATGTAAGGTATTGGGTTACTTTTTTCATGATGGATTAATTTACAGTTTTTTTTTACATTAATGGTCAATCGGGTTTGACTTTTTATACTTTTCTTTTACTGTACAGAGTCAAGATACTGACCAGTGGTCATTTAGACTTTATTTTACTCATGTTGTTGTTGTCTGACTGTCCAAGTTTGCCATTGGTTTGCAAAAAATGGTGCAATGTAACAGCTTCGAGCGGACCATAAAGTACGAGCGAGTTTTTTCCGAAATTTATTGGTTGTTTTATTATCGTGGGTCCTTTGGTCACGGTGATGGCCACACTTCTTGGAACTCATTTCATTAAGGCAATTGTAGAAGGCTTTTTTCATGGTACATTTAGCGTAAATGTTTTCTTCTTTTCCACTCAAATAGTCAAGAAATTTGGATACTTTTAATAGGCTATTACCACAGTTCCATAGGGCCACTTTATGACAGTCGTTTATTTTACCTGACAACAATCAGCCAGCATCTCATTAGTAAATTAACAATTAGATTTGGTTATATTAGTTAGGGGAACCTGTTTATCCGAATACGAGTTAATTTAAGTATAAACCAATTCCAATCGAGGAATCGGTTCAACTTGGTGAAATTATTGTTTTCTGTCATCAAATTTACAAACTATTGTTAATTAATGGAATTAATACAAATCAATAGTGAAAATAAGAAATTAGAGTGGATTTAATAATATTAATTGATCAAGATCGGCTAAATATTTCTCTAATTAATTCTTTCACTACTAATTGTTATCAACTATCGAGTTTATTAAACTTAGAACAACATTATCAATCCTAACTATCGATTAATGAGGTAAAATCTAAATTATGTGAACAAAGAGATAATGTTGACTAATTTAAGGTGAATATAAAACTATCGAAATTGGATCGACTCAATTCTCAGTAGATTATAAATAATTAAAGTCACTCAAAATTAGTTTTAGATCTTGTGTAACAAACTGATAGTATTATTTTCTGAAAAAAAAGGTTTCAATTTTTGTTCCAAATCTGATTAATTTTGAATCTTTAAATTTGACAGAACGATGAATAGTTGATCGGGTTAATTAGACTTGGTTGAGTAAAGAAATAGACACTTACCATTATAATTGATTGTTTCGAAAACATCATTCTTAGAGAGATTCGTCATCTCGTGACTGTTTTTGGGTCTATGTTGATATTCACAAGTAATTAAGGTAAAACTGGACACAGAAAAGTAAACAAAAATGGAGAATTGAAATACGAAAGTGGCCAATATCATATATAGAATAACAATTACGAGGTCAATACGGAATAAAAAAAAAGTCAAAATTAAAAATGAAAGAAAAAACCAAAAGGTAAAAACATAAGATGAACTCTTACCTTAAGAAATAAATGAAAGCCAACGGACTTGAGGTAGTTAAAGGCCACATTGTGGGCCGACAGTATCGCTGATTGTTGACCTTTGGTCAGTTTCTTTAATGTAATCGAATGGACCAGAAACCAAAACCGAAAAAAATGAAAGAAGGAAAAGTTAACTGGACAAGAGAAATGGGATGAGAAGAGAAAAGAAAAGAAAGAAAGTGAAAAGAGAAGAAAAAAATTCTAAGAAAAACAGTCACATGATCTTCGTTTCCATGGTAACGGTAAACATTCACGTTTGGTGATTGTTGTTTTCTTTTAAAAAGAATCTTTTTCCAATCGATGATTAGAATTTAATTTGCTCTTGTTTTCAACTTGCAATTTAATTAATTGTCTTCGATTTAAGTTATTAACCAATCAGTCATGTTACAACCTTTTGTAAACTCGCAACTTTACTTGGAATCTGCTCTTTTAAGATCATGTGTTTACCGGTTAGGGTTTAATGTAAGTAGAATTGTTTAATTTTGTCACTGCTTAATTGTCGATTTAATTTACTATGATTATTATTATTTTTTCATTTTAGAATTGTAATACTATCAGTGTTAGAAATGCCCACAACAAATCAACACCTCGAGATAATCAAACTATGGGAAGATCACAAACATATGGAAATAAACCTAAATATATGATATCTAATTCATGGCATGATTTTCATTTTCCTCCATCTGGATCACTATTTAAATCTGATTTAGTTAATTCAAGCGAATGGTCATTGGTTTATCGTATTAAATGGTCAATAAAAGTGGTCTATCTGATCCTCTATGGTCACATTGCCGTTTCGGTTGGTTCATTAGTCATTTTGTATAATATTTTTGTAAAAGGAAAAAAGTTCTACAACCAAAACATAACCAACCAGTCCCTTGTAAATGCCGGTATAATATTTTGCTGTTCTATGTTCATTTCATTAACAATATTGCTCATAAATGCATTTAGAAAGGCTGCTATTCGAGGATATTATTCGCCCAAATATCAAAGATTCCTGTTCATCCGCCCTAACCTTTTAACCCCATGGAATGTGCGTAAACTGATTGTTGCCCCTGGTGTAATTGAATCCACTCAATTAGAAAACTTTAACCTTTTTAGGCCTAATTGCAAAATCCAAGACACCAAAGCCTACATTTTTAAAAATAATTTCTATTATCCAGCTTATTATAATGCTCTGTGTGGCTTTACATCCGTCAAGAACTTAGCTGGCCTCAAATACGATCCCGATGAGGTTTTCAGACATAATTTGAAAGATGGGATTTAATATTCAATATTTTGTTATCAATTATGTGATCAGCGATATTGTAACTATTAAATTGTAAGTATTGATCTATTGAATGATTTAGTTGAATAGTAAAAAAAACTGTCGATTAGAACTCTTTTTGATTTTAATTTTTTACAAATCGAGTTTATGTTAAATAAATACAATGTTTTGGTTAGTGAAATTTATGGACAAGTTTTACAAGAGATTAAAATTTGAACCATCAATAGTTTTGATAATTTGGTCCATATGATTGAGCACTTGTCAAATACATCATATTAGCACCCGCCTGGTGGAGTCTCAAACTTTCATGGTGAGGAAGTGGAACGATTCTGTACAATCGACTCAGGGGATGGTCATCGGTTTGAACTGCGATGGTTCGTGGTTGAGGTTCAATATGTGGGAACTCTAGAGAATCGTAAGTCAAATCTTCGTCCAAGAAACGTACTAACAATGGATTTTCATGTGCGACTGGTCCAGTGGTTGGTGGAGGCAATGGCTGAATTGGAATCTGAGTTTGGATCTGTGGCTGAATTTCCGATTGAATCTCAGGCTGGATGTCTGGTTGAGTTTCGGGTTGAGCTTCTGGTTGAGTTTCACGAATCTCAGGTTGAATTTGTGTTTGAACTTGAGGTTGAATTTGAACCTGAGGTGGAACCTGTGGTTGAATTTGGGTTTGAATTTGAATTTGAGGTTGAACGGGTGTTGAAGGAAGTGACTCTCCGGCCTCGTCGTTATCGGTGTTTACTTCTGGCTGAGCAGGAGATGAATCTGTTTGTTGGTCTATTTGTTTTTGTTGTACAGTTTGTGGTTGAATTGGTTGAGCGGGTTGGACAAATTTCGCTTGTTCTTGTTGATCATCTGATGCTGATTGTTGGTCAGTTTGTACTTGTTGGTCGGAGCCCAATGAATCTGATTCGACTTGTTCATCTGAAGATTTTACTTGTTGGTCATCTTGTTGTCCAGATAAAAACTGTTGAGATACAGTTGCTGGCGCTTCGGTTGTAGTTGTAGTGGTGGTGGTTGTGGTCGATGTTGTTAAGGGGACTAATCGTTGTAGAGGAACAATCTGAGAACTTACTAGTCGAAGTGTTGATGGTAATCGAACTGATTGTCGAACTGAATTAGCTCGAGCAGCAGCAACAGGGGTCACTCTCGCAACAGCGATTCCAACTGGAGCAGTTGCACCTCCTTTCGTTGCAGACAGAGGAGTCAACGAGGCCAAAATACTCGGTCGAGCTGTCGGGGCTGCAGTAGAAACTGCGACTGGTCTTCGAGTCGTTGTTGTTGTAGGTAAAGCTGTGGCCAAAGTATTTTGTGCAACTCGGAGTCTGGCCAAAGATGCTGAGGCCACTTTCGATGCGACTTTGGTTGGAGTGGTCTCAGTTTGTAGAAAAACACTTGCTGGGATTCCGTTTACGTCCGCTGAGTTACCAAGACCTGGTTCGTTTGACCTGATTGCTGCTCGAAAACCATTAGCATCTGCAATGTATTCAACAGTACGATACAAACCGTCGGCATCTCGGTAACCATATCGACCTCTAACTGCACCATTGGCATCACCAGCTTCTTGACGGACTATTTGGTTACCAGAAACATCGGCTGTGTTGTATGCAAATGAATAAGGCGAAGGTGATGCTGTTGTTGATGAGGATGATGAAGATAATGAAGATGAAGATGAAGATGAAGATGAGGACAAGGATGAGGATCCAGCGGACCCACTGGAGGTCAAAGTTGATTCCGTTACCTGAGTATCGCTGCTCAATGAGCTTTCATCACCAGTTAATTTTTGTTGACTAACCTCACAAAAGCTCAAAGCTGCACAGCTCAAAAGCACAATTATCTAATTACAATTAAAAGTAAATCACAAAAAAAAAGAATCGGATCAAATTCAAAGTCAAATCTTATCAATTCTAAAAATCAGCAACAATCAACTAATTCAATAAAATTGGCGCTAATTCACAAACAGTCAAAAGCAACAAAGTCAAAAGTTTTTACTTCAAAAACTGAACAATTAAACCGATAGACTTTTAATTCAACTAAACAATTAACAACTAAAATCACATCTATGGTTAATTTTAATTGTCTTACAGAAATTTATATTAAATAATGAATAGTAAGTCTACTTACTTGAATAAATTTTAAATCCATTTGGTTGATTGTTGGTTAATTGTTGATGGATTAGTGTCTTCTCTAGTTTAACTGATGAGAATCGGTGATAAATTTGTTGATTGTGATTTCAATTAAAATGATCACGGAAATAAACAAAATTAAAGTGAAAGTGAATCAATTTCTTGTTACAACCTTTATACTGTTCCCAATTGATTGGGACAACACAAGATGACACAATTAAGTGAAGATGAAGTTACCTTAGATTGACCTGGTCAGTTGATGATGAGAAGTGGGAAGAGGATGAGATGAAGAGATGAAGAGATGATGAGCAAAAGTAGATGATGAAGATGAAAGAGAAAGTGATGGAGAGAGAAGATTAAATTCTGGATATATTAAGGATTAACTGATTTCTAAATCTCTCCAGGTCATTATGAGTGATTCTTGTGACGACCTGACACTTTATCCTAATCACAATTAAATTAACTAAACAAAATTTAAATGATTAACTCCAAATGTTACAATATCTAAATTGCTACTCGATTGATTATTTTTACACATTTCAAATCAATTATATCACCAATCAAGACTGATCATTGATTGCAAGTTTGGTTAATTATTGGTAACTAAGTTTGATTAGTGGTAAACATTAAATTGTTGATTATTGCATCAGGATAATTAAATTTGATTACGATTCAAATCAGATTATAGTTTTTCTGTCAGATTTAAATTGCCTTAAGCCTTTTAACTGTTACTGATTTTTAATTTTTACTTTTAATTGAATTTACCGAATTTTGATTAATTTCACTTTAAATTGTTACACACAATCAATTTAATCAACCAATTATTGATTATTTTGTCTCATCAAATTAATTAAAATTTGTCAACATTAGCAATCAATTGATCATTTATTTTGATAATCGATGACAATAGTAATTAGTTAACGTGTTAATTTAAGTTTATCAAAAAGTTTGATTATTTACAATTGATAGTTAATTGTTTATACTTAAATATTAAGGCGGTTAGTTGACGATTAATTGTTTGATTTAGGTTTTGATTTTTTATTAGTTGATTTTTCACTTGATTCACTTTGATTGTCTTCAATTGATTCTGGATTAGAGTTGAAAGTTTCATTCAAAGCTTCACGAAAATTGTTTATATTTGAATCGGAACTGAATCGAGAGTTTAAAATTTTACCAGTTGACAATTTACCCTTTTGATCAGTTAATTGTTGAGAATTTTTTGTTAATTGTTGATCAACTAGATGCTCATTAGGTTTGATATAAGTTACTCTTCCCTGATAACCAACAAATGGACTAGTAACTCCATTAGGTTTAGGGTTTACCGATTTATTATTGATTATTATTTTTCTATGGGTTTTATCAAATTGGCGATTTGATTGTTGTTGTTTAGATTGATTAAGACTCGAGATTGGGTGGGAATGAGGGTGTGCATGGGGATAACGATCAGAGATGTGGGAATGATGAGAGTGGACACTATGATTTGAGTTATTACTCTGATCGCTTCCGGTATTTAAATTCAGTTTTGTAATTGGTACAATCGGTTTACTCATTTTTGGCAATTTACGTTCAAATAGTCCAATGTTCCGATCCAATGTCCCTAATTCACTTGCTGACCACTTATCGGGAATCGACCTGACCATTGTGAATATACTTTTAGCTTGATTTAGTTCAATCTGAGATGAGAAACAAATCAAGAAATTAACAATCAAGCTTATCAAAAGGATAACACTTTTTAATTACTCTGTTCATTGTGTGTCTAACTGCTGTCCATCGGTCAGTATAATCCTTGATTAGCAACCTTTCAGCTGATTTATTTACATTGTGAAGGTTTTTCATCTTAAGGTTTTGAGAAGATAAAAAGTAAATGAAACAATTACCTTGATTACGATTAAATTGCTCAATATTAGAAATCGATACTTACAATGAATGTACCTGCTCCTGATAGACTAAGAATATCATCAATACCACTCATTGCAGTTTCGATTACTTTTGAATGTAATTCATTGAACAATTTAGGGTCAGCATCGGTTAACATTTGTAAACCAAGGAGACGGACAATGGGCTTAGTCGTTGACCCTTGGACGAAAACAGTGAATATAATAACCGCCATTGTCGCAGTGATGAACAACTCATATGATGGGATATCCTTAGGGTGCAACATAATTGCCAAAGCGAAAGCAATGGCTCCTCTTAATCCACCATAAGCCATGATGAACTGTTCTTGTCGAGTGATAGATCGAAGTCGATTCGAAAAGGTATTACAAATATACGTTAAAAAGTAAATACCTAAAACAATCAATAGAAATGGATAGTTAATCATCATCATTTAGGTGACACTATTTACTTAACTTACTTGCGAATCTATAAATTATACAAAATATCAACAAGGAAACTATGAAATTACAATTCCAAGTATGAATATCCCGGATTAAGATCATCCCAAGAAACAGGAAGATTATCACCTCTGAAATACTTGATAAAGTTTTAACAAAATACTTAATTGTTATGTTTGATTTAGATGATATATTGTGTCTTGCATAAGCGGCTTGAATTAATCCACAACAAGTAAGACAGATTATCCCGGAAAAGTGTAACAATTCAGCGGTGAAATATGATAAATAGGCACAAAGTATTACAATTAATGGCTCGATAACTGAATTAATCAAAATTAGATAAAACATAATGATTATTGAGCTAATTATCACAAAATCAAAGTCTTACCTCTAACCTGTGATGTATATTTGGTAATGAATGAAGTGAATCCACCGAAAATGATTCCAATGATTATCCCACCTCCTGAAACTGTGATGAAACTGAGAAATGCCAGAAATACATGATATAAACTGATGCCTGATGAGGCGGCAAATGTTGTCATTGTATTGTACATTGTCACCACAACAGCATCTTAATTGTGACCAAGAGAAAGACAATTAATCTAATTGACAACAATCTAACTCTCTCTTGGACTAACCATTGAGCAAGGATTCACCAAATACTAGGAAGTATAAAGCTTTATCAACGTTTACCTCTTGAAATATGGCGATTACCTGGTTAATTAATAATTGATAAATGATTGTTTGACTTAATTGTTCATGTTAATTGTTAATCAACTTACTGCAACTGGATCAACGGCTGAGATTAGAGTTGAAAAAGTTAAACATTCAATGAAATTAAGTCTAAATGGTAAATATAATCCAAAATTGGAGCAAAGGTAAATACTGATTCCAATCCCAATTATATTGATTATGGTTCCCTGTTAAAGTGATGATTAATTACAGTAATTAACTAATTACTTCGATTAGAATGACCTGAAATTGATTGATGACAATAATAGTGTTTGATTGTTTTCTTTTCGATGGAAAATTAAATATTAATTAGAAAGAAAAATGAAAAACTTGAAGATCTTGAATTTCGATAAAATTAAAGTTACTTTTTAATTCTGTTTTCAGGCTTGTGACCTGAAGACGATTCTAATCAAAGTTTATTATCTAAATCACAGGAAGATGATTATTACCGGATTAAGAGGCTTATTGGATCATCTTAAAGGTAATCAAAACGATTATGACCCAAACAATTTAAATCATTAATCTAAATGAACATTAACCTGAAATTAAAAACTTTCATCTTTTTATTTATTTGTTTATTTACCAATGAAACAAATATAATAATTAAAGTGAATTAAATTTAATCCACTTGAAAAGTTCAATCAAAAAGCAAAATTTAATCACTAAATTAATTATCACTTTACACGAAAATGATAATAATAGACTTGATTGTGGTTCAATTTAGACAATCAGTTAATCAACTAATTTTGTCCACTAACTATTAGTACAATTGTATTTAAGATCTGATCAAATTGCATGATAATCAAAGTGTTAATTGTGATTAAACAATCAAATCAATGTGTATTATTATTTGCCTGTCAATTATTAAATTGTTAATTAACATCCTAAAGCTAATTGTCCAACACTTTCAAGACTAATTTATTCAAACAATTGACTTTAATTTAATTCAGTTCATCTTTGACTTTTAAATTAAGGTTAATCATTAATCATTATTTATATAACTTTCACTATTTAGCTAAATTGTTAGTTAACATGCAAACATGAAAATTTCATATTTAATTGAATTAAATTGCGATTGTCAGTTAAATTTGATGATTTAAATGTTGATTGTTAACCCATTGAAACTTAATTGTAATTCTCAATAACAAGTTTCTCTTGAAATAATCCAAATTGTCACAAAATCAATAAGCTAATAGAAAGAGTTTAATTGTTAACACTTAACTTACCACAACCGCTAATAACATTATGGTGCCAATGTTTTTGAAAAAAGTTTTATCAAATAATTCATAAGCTGATTCCAAGATGATTCTGTTAATTAATGATTAGTTAATGGTTACAATTAATCAATAGGCTATTTTTTAATATCAAAAGCAATTTATTAATTGTTACTTTTGCTTCAACCGGAAGTTTTAATCAATTGTTTCCCTTACAATCACAGAAAAGTTAATCAATCAATAGCTTTTCATTTGGATTGAATTAATATTCTCACCGTAACCTTGATTGTTTGGGGATTATAATTAACAATATCAATTGATTGTTGATTGTTGATTGTAGATTGTTATACTTACGGTGGAAGGTAAAAGTAAAAAAACTTTTCGGGTGTAAATTGAGGTATGTAAGTGGATCCAGGAATATCTGCTAAACTTGAACAATTAGAATTAAAAAATTTGGTGACAATTAACTAATCATTAGGATAATTGATTAGTTTTTATTGTTATGATAATACCTACTGAAGGATTAATCCAACACAAGATCCAAGAAGGATAAGGACACTTTAATGAAGAAAATTTAATCAACCATAATCAAGGCGATTGAATAACATATTAAGTTAATTGTTGTGTATCAGTTGATGGTCAAGGGTTATTATCATTTTGTTGCTGTTGAACTGATTATCCGACAATCAGATTGTCTGATTACTGATAAAGGATTAAGAAGGGATTAGCTGAACTTACCATGATTCCGGGATTTGAGTCCTTAGCCAATGGGTATTGTGGTAAGACAGTTTAGCGAAAGCGCCGAGAATGAAAAAAATGACCACTACGAGATATGGACCAATAGTGTCCCACCTCCAACCAATTAAGGTAATCACAACACCTCGACGAGATGAATTATGTCCAACGAGTGATTGATCAACTGAATTAACTGCTAATGGAAATGCGATGATAACAAACAATAATCTTATCATTACAAAAAGATAAACGATAAAATTTGATAACATAATTGTAACGAGAATTGTAATCAACAAAGGGAATAAGTTAATTGTTACGATTAGAAGATGACCCGAAATCTGATATTCTTAACACAATTAGTTAACCATCACAAAGGTGTGACATTGGGTTTTGATCATTTAATGATCAGTTGATTAGTAACAATTAAGTCTAACCATTTCTTTGATTGTGTCTCCGTGTTCATGTTTACATTTGTCTCTGTAATAGTTTCTTGTTCAGTAGTTCAGTTTGATTCAGTTCAATCATGAACACGCCATTATATTGATTACCATGAAAATCGTTCAATAAATTAACTTGTATTATATTTGATAAAATGGTGATAAATACTTTGTTAACCTAAATTGATCATCTTTTTGCAATTCTAATCATTAAAGGTTACAATTAGCAAATCATTGTCAGTAGTTAATCAATTAACCATCTAAAAGATTGAATCAATATTAATCTTTTAACTTTATCCAATAATTAGCAACAATATTCTTAATTAAAACTCAATTAATCAACCATTCATCTTGATTTATTCATTTGACAGGTTCGTTGATTAGTTACAACTAAATTTGTACAATTAGTTTATTAATATTTTCATATTATTTTAATGATTTTGACATTTAATCAATTCCTCATTAATGATATGAGATTGATTTTTGTTGGATTATTGTTTACACTTGATTAGTGACAATTAGTTAACTGGTTTATCATTAATTATTTGTGGAAATGATTTAATCTTGTTTATCATCGCGCCGGTCATCAAATGCTACGTTGATATCAGAATCGGTTTCCATGGTTACTCAGCATTCTGACGATATTTCAATAATCTATTATCATCTAGATGGTAAACATTTAACTCCAATTGATGATTAATCTTAATCACTACAACATCTTATTCATTCATGGCGATTGATCATCGTATTGTTGATTAAATCAAATAACTGTGATTTAATTGCTGTCAAATTAAAGGTAAGATTAATAATTTATTTATATTGTCAATCAAGATTTTGATTGAATCGTTTATTGTTTTGTCATTTACTCAATGGCAATGAAGTCCAACAATTATCTAATTGTCAATGGAGAAGTCAATGAAACCATATATTAATTGGTGAGCAATCAATCGTGATTAAGAACGAGGTTGGATCATAAATTGATTATTGTGTAATCTTGTCAAATTGTCTTCTAATTGTTAACAATCAGTATTAGGAGTTATGAGATAATCGATTGAGTTTATTGAAAGTAATCAATGAAAATGAGACAATTTAAAACTGTAACCAAATCAATTGACGAAACTAATGTAACAACAATTGATTTCATTTCCATGATTGATGATTAGAATACAATAAGATCAATTAAACTTTCGTCTTCTAATTAAACTAATTAAGGATGAAATTGATTCGTATCATTGTCGAGTTGATTAGAGTTAACTCTTGACTCTTTCAACTAATTCCTTTTCTCTTGGTAACCAAAACTTACCCTCAACAATTAACAGAATATCAAATTGTCGTTGATTATATTAGATCGAAACTAATCTGGTAAATTGATTAATATCTAACCCAAGAATTAGCAGATAAACAATCAAAGACGAAAAGTGATTAGTGTTTAGGTTTTTTCTTTGTTTATTTTGTTTCTCGCTGCTTGTTCACAGAAACCAAACTGATCTTTTTCCTTGGGGCATAACAACCGATGCGTTTTTGTTTCTTTTTGGTTCCATTGTTTTTGTCTCTTTTTTTTCTTCAATTAATTTTCCCTTTTTAATTAATTTCTCATCAGTTAATTGTGGACAATCAAGATGCCTGGAACTTGCCCGAGATGTGAGAAGACTGTTTATTTCAACGAGGAGAAAATGGCGATTGGCAAATCATTTCATAAATCATGTTTTTCTTGTGGTGAGTAACCTTTTCATCTGGTCCATGTTGTTGTTGCTCTTTGTTTACAATTAATCTGATTCACTGTTTGATTGATCAATCATCTTGATGTTGATTCGCTTCCTACAATCAATCAAATCACTTTTCTAATTGTAACAGCTGATTAATTATTCATTTTTCGCCTTTTCCTTTACCGGTTATCTTGTTGTTGTTCAGTTTTGTTTTCTTGCTTCTCTTTTCAAAGTGAATTTGGATTATCTTTTGTTATTCTGATTCCATTAATTAATTAATGGAATCAAATGTTTACTATTCATTTGGATTAACTTTTTCTGCTTCTGGTCAGTTAATTAAGATAGTCTATCTTTCTGCTGGTGGTCTTGCTGATTTCATTTATTTCTCTTCGTCTCTTGTATTCTAATGTGTCTCAACCTATTTCAAGTGTTTACACTTTACTTTGAGTAAACATCAATCATTTGATTAATTTGATTATCTTTTAATTGTTTCCAGCAAATAAATCATGTAATCGTAAGCTCGACAGTGGGAATTTAACGACTCATGATAACGATTTGTACTGTAAGGTTTGTTATGGAAGGTTATTTGGACCCAAAGGTTATGGTCATGGAGCTGCTACGGTTTTCCTTACAATGGATTCTAATACCAATGGAAATGGAAATGGAAATGGAAATGGCCTGACAAAGGACAAAGGGTCATCTTCTTGTGATGATAATCCTCAAGTTGAGCCACACGTTAAACCAGAACTTAAGCCACAAACCAATGGAGGATCGAATGTTACAAATGGAAACGGAAATGGATTAACCAAAAACAACCGATCATCTCCTTTACCAACCGTCAAAAAGGTCAACATGACCTTTGACAATTTCGGTAATCGTATCGATATATGTCCAAGATGCAACAAACAGGTTTACTTGGCTGAGAAAATGATGGGAGGTGGAAAGGTAATCACAATCTTCACTTTGTATTCTTATCTTTCATAATCCTAATCATTTACTATCTTAATCATAGGCTTGGCACAAAATGTCGTGTTTCAATTGCGCTGAATGTCATAAAAGACTCGAATCAACAACACTCTGTGAGAAAGAAGGGGAAATCTACTGTAAAAGTAAGTCAACAATACGAAAGTATCAACATGTAGTTGAATCATTTGATCGTTTATTCAATTGTCACCATTGATTTCTAATTCAATTTGATTTTCTTTTCTTCCTTCCAATCAGCTTGTTATGCTAAGCAATGGGGACCTTCAGGTTATGGTCATGGTATTAATCCTGGTGTTCGTAAGGTCGATTAATCGATTGATCCACTGATTGTCCAAGACCAATGTGCTTAATCATTCAATCAAATCATCTCGACGCACGAAAGAAATTAAATTGTGATTACCACTTCAATTTGTTTTCCAAAGTAACACATCCACGAATCTGATTAGAACCATTTTTCCAAACAATTATCATTCCTTGGAGATCATCATTTTACTTGATTAATTAATTCCAATGATTTAAATAACAACAGCTCAACTATTTAATTTAATGTGACGATTGAAAAAAGTTTTTCAATGAGAAAGAAATTTATTTAAAAAAAAGCCATAGAGCTCTTGTAATTAGTAAATTGTGATTAATTTTAGTTGATTGCAATGAGATTATCTTCAAGTGTTCACTTAGATTGTTGCATTAGTTAACTAACTTCAATAGTTAAATTGGACTTGAAAAATATTGAAAGATATCAAAAGTTTGAGACAATCAAATGATCAAGAATCGTGAACAACTAATGTTAACAAAGGCCTAAAGATTTGAAAAAATTGTAACAATTAATATTTTGTTTGGAAACAATAAAAATCACCTTAGGATAATCAATTGCGTTCATCACTTTTTCCTCACCTAATTAAAAGTCAATTTCGAGATGACCATTGATAAGTAACTCGAAATACTTGAATTAACTAGTAAAACCAGTTAGTTGATTTCACTTTTTTGTGACTTTCATTTTCAACGAAACAGTAAAATTAGGAAGTAATTTAAGCCCTTGAGTCGCAATTTAATTGTTGGAGGCTCATCATAGACATTTAACAGTAAAACTCACAAATGAATATTACGAATCCAATTGGATTTCCAAAGAGACTTCCAGACCTACACGAAGTTTATTATCAAAAGTTGACAATTATCACAAATCATTGGAATTAAAAAAAAATGATAAACAACAATTAACTTTTGATGAGAAAATTTTTTAGACAAAAAAAGATGATCAAGTTAAGAGGATTTTCTGCCACTAGATGGAAGCACAACTTCAATTTCTTTCGAAAACAAATAATTTTAATCGTCCAGGATGATTTGAATTATTAGGATTAAATTAGAATTAAAAAGAAATAGCTGAAATCATCAACAACCTAATTAAAAGAAAAGATTTTTCAATCAATTAGATTGTGCAGGTTGATTAAAAGTCCTCAGAAGTTGAATTGAGGCTTTGGGATAGAAAAAGAAAACAGAAAATGAGAAAGAGAGCTGAGCCAAAACAGGAAACTAAATGTTGAAAAGATCAATTTTGAACCTAAAAAACTTTCATTTGAAGTTTAATTTTCTTTTTAATTTATCGAAAAAGTCGAGAAAATTATTATTAGGGTTTTTTACTTTTCCAACAAATTACTCAAGTTAATAAGTGACAAGGTTGACATTCACCGTTGAATTCATAGAAAACAAAAATAAACAATTAGAAAATCAATGATATCTTATATTTTATTATTGTTACCAAAGCGATTGGTTAAAAGAGCCTAGAAGTCTGGGAAGGAAGAAGTAAAGAGTCTTTTATGGAAATGCCCTCATATGACCTTGAAACGCGTTCTTTTACCAATGACCTAAACTGACTATTCAAGTCTTGAGTTTCTAGGACTAATAGGTACAGACAAAATCATAGAAAATATTAGACAAAATAGCTGGAAAGCTCTATACATGAATCTCATCTTCCGGGTGAACTGGAAGCGGAATTGCTTAATTCTCAATTCGATCTTTTGGAAAATTTTCTTGTTCAATTTTCCTTCAATATAACTTTAATAATCTCTCTCTCTCTCTCTCTCTCTCTCTCTCTCTCTCTCTCTCTCTCTTGTGATTCTCTTTGATTTTTTTCTCTTTCTTTGGTGAAAAAAAGGTAAATCTTTTCTTCTCTTGAGGTTTTGGAGAATTAAAAAGCTGATCCACAAATATCATCATCCATTTTTTTATTTTCGGGACCGACGAAAGTGCGATTGAATGATGACGAGACGAAAGAGAACAGAAACAAAAGAACAAGTTGAAAAAGTTCTTACACGATAATTGGAAAAGTATTATCAACATAACCTAATTTTCCACCGCGATTATTATTTAATGTGATTGGACAAATATTGATTCATGTCTTTAATAGTGAACGAATCAAAGGCAAATGAATGATGAAAGGGGAGAAAATCGATCAATCGGTCGATGAAGAGTTGAATCGAAAATAGCACTTAATCGTGTCAGCTGACCGATTCAGTTTACAGATTTTACTATTTAAAGTTGATCAAACAAAGACCACGAAGAGCATCTCACACGATCGGTTCGAATAAGAAACGACAACATAACCGTTTGTGGAAAAATAAACAAACGAAACTCGTTGTCTACTTGATTTAATCAAATAACTTTTATATTATTGCACAAAATTGTTACATATTAGTATCGTGAGAATAACTAAAATTATGATTCCTTCATTTATATTAGACTGACTCGAGATAATTGTTGATCCAATTTAGGAGAAATAATCTTCGTATTTACAATTATAAAAAAAACAACAAGTTCTAAAGCAAAGATAAGTTAAACATGTTCGAGTCAATCATTTTTCTCGTTCATCTTGATCGAATCAACGATTGATATTGACTTTCCTAAGGGCCCTTCGTCCTCCACAGGCTCGTATTTCATTCAGTAAAGCATCATGAAAATCTCCTTTGGATGCTGATGAGCCACCGACATTCAAAATTGTTTTTCTAAATTTTGGCACACTTTTCGAATTGGGTCTTTCTTTTCCGTTCGTTTGGTCGTTACTAGATTTACTTCGTTGGGTGGATGCGTTCGTGTTTAATTTACTCGCAATTTTGGTTGCCTTGGGCATTGGAGGCGGTGGAGGTGGAGGAGGAGGCGGAGGCTGCGAGACGATCAATGGTAAAACGGGCAAAGGTACTTTAGGCTTAGAACCTTTTGGCTCCGTCGTTTTAGTTGGAATTATATTGAACATCGGGCTGATTGGATCAACCTTAATCGCCAATGTTTTCGGTGAAGGTTTAACAGTGTTGATTATCTCAAGTTTTGTATTAGTTTCATCAGATTGTTTCTGTTTACCAAGTTGATTTGGTTCAGTTTGTTTATCACTTTTATCTAATTGCTTAGATTTTACAAATGTTGTCACTTGAATTGGAGATTCACCCAAATTGTTGATTCCTTTGATTGTTGTCACTGTATTACGAATAGAAACTTTTGAAGAGTCGCCATTTAGTTCAATTTGAGAGACACAACGATGACTTGAATTTGAGATATTAACAGTTTGAGACTCGTGGGCTGAGCCTCTGGAAGGCTCATGAGAAACATTATCAACATTATTTAGACAAGATAATTGATCTTTGTGCCTACTGATTCTCAGAACTTTCTCAATTTTTTCAGCCTTTTCAGCTATTGTTTCCCTGTCTTCAATGCAATTAGAAACATTTGAATAAGCCTGGCGAAAGCTTTTGGTGTCAGTTCCACTCCAAGAGGCGAGTCTATTCAGCTTGAAAGGCTGTGGAGCCATCACTGAGATTTTGTTCTGAGATGAATTGGTTGATTTAGTGTTGACGTTGTTATGACCGAACTCATTACAAGCCGATAAATTGACGTTTTTAAATGATGCAGTTACGATAACTGGTTTAACTGCATCACAATTTGATGAATCAAATCTCTCCTTGAAATCATTCGAGTTGTTGGATTGATAAATGTCCAAATTTTCGATTTCTTTATAAGAGCCAATCTTGAAATTCGTAAGTCTAACTCGTGGACGACACAAGTCACGAACAAGTTCACTTGAAACACTGTCACCATTATCTTCAGGATCATTATTCTGATCAATTCTCGGTGTCCTTGTCTTGACGTCCTGTCCAAACAAACAATCGTCTCTTTTTTCATTTCCATTCTTGTGACAATCAGTTTCTCCATTCATAATTGTTTTCATTTCGGAAACAATTGTGGGCGTCCTTGTACTTTCTATGGAAGATTCTTCTTCTATTTGATTGGCATCTGATGAGAAATCTTTATGATTGTTACTCGTTCCATCTTCTTGATCTTCAATTGAAATGGTTCCAATTGAAGACGAAAGCGATGTTTCTCTTTCATTTGATTCTTCAAATTCATCTGGAGAAATTTCATCGCTATTCTTAACTGATTTCTCACAATTATCATCATTTATATTCAAATGATTATTTGGTCTACATGTTGATTCCTGAGTAAGTATTTCACTTTCATGGTCATTCACTTTGAGACCACTTTCACTTGAAATGGTTGGTGTAACATTCGTGTCCGGCTCGACCTCCTCTTTCAATGGTTCGTTATCGAGAATGATACTTGGGGATAATTGATTTTCATTTGAAATACTTTTTGGATAATCGGTTTCATCGAATTGCTCATAATTTGAATTCAACGATTTTTCAGAATAACTTAGATATTTTCCATTCGCCAATGTCGGTGAATCCATTTCTTGAATTGTGTCGATTTGCTTATTTATAGTTTTACAAGAATCTCGGTCAAATCTTAGCGATGAAGTCGATGAATATGAAAGTGGTTTCATCAATAATCGTTTATTTGTCTCATAACTGAAACTTTCTTGTTCTAACTCATTCTCAGCTTCCTCAATAATTGTATCGCCAATGGCTGAATCACTCATGATTCCACTTCCAGGGAACTGAGTGATTCCATCATTACTCTTTTCTTCATCCATGGGGACATGAGAACAAGTTCCTGAGTCAGGACTAGGAATTGGAGCTGAATCACTTGCTTTCAGAATCGCAGCATCTAAATCGTTACATTCTGAAACCAAAGTGAATGAAGGTTCATCTTCCGGTTGAATGTCTCTACTTGATGCTCTTCCACCAAGGACTCGATAATTACTTTGTCTACTTGAACCGGAAGAAGCTGAAAGAGCGACACTTACATCACTCGAACAATCAACTGATTCACTTATTTCACTTTTATCTCTCCAATCAGGTGGAAGAGGAGCCTTGCGTTTTTTAACAATCCCCTTTCTCATATTCTCTTTGCGATTCAATTTATTCTGACCTGCGAGGCGATTCGAACCCTCTGATAACGATTTGTGAGATTCAGAAGAGATCATTGATTCATGGTAACCACTAGAATCAGACCCCGAATCCTGTCGATAGTGAACATTGTCCATGGAATTATTTTCTTCACATTCAATCGGTTCCTCATTAGAACCAATCTTTACATCATCGACATTCAATATTTTGGGAGGCAAAGGAGCCGCTCTCTTCTTGCCTCCTTTATTCATCTTAATTGCTACTTGATTAGCTGATTGTTCCTTTAAATTATTGAGATCCTGCAGTTGATTTTCATCGTTACCGTTGACGAGATGACGAGAAGTCGATTGTTCCATATGAGTCTTAGTTAGAAGATTAGTTGACATCAAGGTAACTTCATTAACTCCATAATCGGCTAAACATTTAATCGAATCAAGAATGAGCATTTCTTTTTCATTCTTCGCAATTAAATGAAACTTTGATGAGTCGAGTTCTTTCTCGTCACAAATTTTACTCTTAATTTGAGCGATTGTTGATTCAGGAGAAACACGAAGAACCATCAATTGATTTCTTGGTAAATTAACTTGTAATCTGAAGGTTGTTTTGAATGGCACATTTGATATGAAAGGTAAACCCTGATGATTAGAATTTAAATTAGTTGATTGGTTCTCATTTACTTTAACATTCATCAAGGGTGTAGACAATGTTGCAGATCTTTGTTTATTTGGAATCGAGTAGATGACTGATGAAGAAGATGATGGCATCGATTGGGGTAAATTCATTTCACTTGTTCCTGCGGTCGATCTGAAACTCGCCTTCACGGGCTTGGGTACAATCGCGATTGTGTTGACATCGAGTGAACCAATGGGTGTACTTGCTTGGAAGGAAAAACTATCGACCTTAACCCGATACTTTGAAGCGTTGAATTTACACTGAGTTGCGATGTTGACCAGAATGTCCATCATTGGTGTTCGCCGTTCAACATTGATAACAATTCTGTCTCCTTGTGGTAAACTTTTACCTCGAATCAGTTCGGGAGGTAAAAGTACAGTCAAATTCATTCGACCTTCAAGAAGTTCATTAATTGCACATGAATCATCTTCAGCACTCATGGTCAGTGAATTAGATGTAATAGAAACTGGTCTTGAGTTTTTAATTGTGTTCGATATTGATGATTGATTGGTCACTTTGGTGGTTCTTGTAGGTGGTGGGGGTGGTAGAGATGACGATTTATATTGATTACCACGAGGTAGAGTGTAACTGGACAAGTTATCAAATTCCTGTGACACTGTTGGTCTATTCAATGTGGATGATTTATCTTGATTGTAGGAGCAATTTTCTTGGAGAGATACTTTCATCTTTGATGATCTATTTCAATTAAACAGAAGAAAATGAGGATTAATTAGTTTTAAGTGTTGATTGTTGATCAGATATTCTGACGACCGTTAATGATCATGATGATAAAAGCAAACTGATCAAATATTAGCAACGATCATACTAATAACAACTCAACCCAATTATCAATTTGAATTTCAACTAATCGTATTGCAATTAGATTAGAGGAAACCTTATGAAAAGACAACTTGTATAACTTCAATCACAATCAGATTTAATTTGGTTAACGTCCGATTTACTTGGTAAAAGGTTTCCTTTCATTTCAAATGAAACATTTTCATGACACAATCAAATGGATCTAATTAATGAACGATCAAACAATGTGGGTAATTAAAGTTGTAACTGTAACCAATCAACACAAATTGATCAATTAACTAAACTTTTCAATCAAATTACCAATTCTCATTTTCATATACATACTTTTGTTGAAACAATTTCCACATTTTTATCCACTTTAAATGAGAACCTTAATTACAATCACAATAGAAAACAAATTAACTTTTCCAATTGTAGCAATTAACCTATGAAAATTAGACACAGAAAGGAAACAGTAAACTGATTACAATTAACCATTTAGATGGATTGAATGATCAACAAGGAAAATGATCAGAAAATCTTGTTAATTTAAACCAAAGAAATTGAAAGAAAATCATTCATCTCACCAGATGGCGTTTTCTTTGTTTTTTTCTTTCGTTTCAACGTTTAATTCAATAACGAATTCGTTACGAGCGTAATTTAAATTCAACGATTTTCTAATTAACAGAACTTGAAATGATTCTTTATCTTTTTTCCTGTGATTTTTTTTATAATTTTTTTGCTATTAACTGATTATTTTTATTAGAAGCTAATTAGATTAAGGAAACCTTATCATATGGAAATGGTAATCTTTTTATATCAATCACAATCTTATGACGTTTCGAGAAAACTGATCAATAATAATAAGTGAACAATTATCTTTATGAAACCATATTGAACAACATTAATTCAATGTTGTTCATAATCGTATCTTGAATAGTTAATATGTGAGATCAACTGTGCGAGTGTATTGTGCATGAAGTGATTAGTTGATTGCTACAGAGCAGAAAGATAATAATAATTACAATTGAAGGTTAATCTGAAGGGTCAATTGAATTGAATTGAATTGTATTCGAAAAAAAGAGAAAGTAAATTATGATGAAAATCCTTTAGTTCAAGTGACTTAATTTTAGTGGAATTATAATCGCTCATTTTTTCATTTGATTCGCAGTTTTAATCAACAATCAGTGTTGTTCATTTCTTGTTCATGATCAACATATACCCTCGGGAAATAATTTCTCTATCATCAACTGATCTATGATGAAAATATTAACCATTAGTTGAATTCGATATCATGTGAAACCATTAAAGTTTATGAGCTACAATTTGAATTAAATTGAACACAATTAACAGATGTTTCCCTGAGATTAGTTTCAGTAGTTAATCAACAAGGTTGAATTGATGAGAATCTGAAACATTCAAACTAACATGAAATTCCCATGAAGTAATGAATGAGAGATACGAGTTTCCATCTCTGTTGTTCAATTAAATTCATGGTTCAATCAAATGCCAATGAGGAAAATGGATAATGATGAATATTTGATGCGAAAATATTATTATTAGAAATGAACATCAATCACCAAACTAAAGATAATTATTTCTTCAAGTGATATCAGATCACAATTAACATTTACTTTTCTAATATTTGAATATGATAATTGAGTGAAGCTCAGAATGTCTATCGCTCTGAAACTCAACCATTCTTACGGTTTAGTAGATTGATTTGGTTCAACGAATTAATAATCACGTATAAACGATAGTGTATCTAATACATTACCAGTAGATACAGTTTTTCTGTTTACGCTTCGTGTTAATTGTCGTTAATTGTTATCCTGTTATTAGAAACAAAACAAACATGTTCTGTTTGTTTTTCTACACTCAATTCACTTGAAACTTTTAGGGTAACAAAATGGATCATTTAATGAAGCGAAAACAATTTGAACATTTAAAAATTGATCCACCAACTAATCTGAGACTTTGTTGGAATAACAATTTGACAGGAAAATTAATAACAATTGACAACGACAACGACAACGACCATTGGTAATCGAGCGAACTGTTTAATGAAACTAATCATCAAGATTCATTATTGTTTTTTTTTCGGGTTTATAATCAATTGAATTATGATATTAATTGTACAATGAACTTTTCCATCCAGGTATAAACCTTGATTGCGGGTTAACAGTTGACTCTGGATCATTTGAGATGAAACCTTTTCCGTATAATAATATTGATCCTAATTCATGATAACATGAAAACATTATCATCTATTATCAGATTACCTTTTCTCTTCTTGTAATAACTGAACCATTATTTTCATATATTGACTCTGAAATGCTCATTTGTTTTACTTTGGTAGACCGCATTTACCTTTGCCTATTGAGATGAGAATCAATAGTTGAATACTCACCTTAATTTGTTAACTAAGAGGCTTCGTGGGAAACATTGACACGTGAACAAATGTAAGCAGCTCATCTGATGCTATTATTAAAAGTTGGTGTTGACTTGGTGTTCCAGGTAGTTGATGAATTATATCATCGAGAACGATAATTGTCTGTCAATCTGTTGAGGTTATCACAACATTCAAATGTGTTAATATTTGATTTTCACTCTGTTGATAACAATTGTAGCTTTAAATAACATGTTAACCCTATTACTTTAGTCACGCTTAAGGCGAAAAGATTAATAAATAATCTTGTCAAAAACGATTCTCAGTGTTTGGTACCAATTACAATATAATAGTAATTTCGTTAGTTGATCGTTGACATAAATTAGGCTCAATTTAGATTATTATCGTTACTTAGTTGCCCAGTTCGTTTGTTATTAAGATGTTATCGTAAATTAATTCTTTGGCCTGATTCCGGGAATTATCTCCATGGCCTTAAGCATCCACACTAATCTCGTCAATGTAGTAACTCATTGAGTAATTTGTTGATTTATATGTATAAATGTTAAGACATTTCCCATGTGAATGGTGTCAGAATTTAACTACAAGTTGGTGACAATTTTTATGCTGAGAAATACTAATCATGTTCATCTTGAAATGTTGACTTACCAAATAACAAATAGTTGATCACAAATTAGGGCGATGATGAAGATTAAACATTGAAGGAGATTAACAACATGAGCTTGAAAGATGAATTAAAGTGAAATAATGATGAAATTCTGGCGATGGAAAATGATTGGAATCATGGTGAATCAGAATTGGAAAAGAAATGACAATTACATGAACACAAATCAACTGAACTCGTTGAATTTGAATAACAAACTTTCGGTGGATTAAAGAAACAAATGGAATGAAATATTTAACATAATTTCCAATAACCGGAACAAAGATTTATTCAAACTATCACTTTGATCATAGAAATGAAAGAACAGAAAGTTTTGTTGAATGAAAAGAACACAACAAGTTCCACTATAACCTGAACATTTAGAGAACAAACTGGATTGGAATAACGGTGAATAACCTTTTCCACTGAGAACTTGATACCAACTTGATGTTCTCTCTTCTACTCAACTAACACCCGCCCTTCTCTCTATTCATGTTTAGCAGGTCCAGTAACATGCTCTTGAAAAGATTCCAAAAATCCTGTTTACTCACTTGTTCCATTCCTTGACCAGATCTAATCAAATCGTTTCGTTGATCAACTGAGCGCCACTTGCCCATTAGAATGGAAATCAAATGGTCAACCTGAATGGGGAACAAAAGAAAAGGGAACAGAAAAATGGGTTCGATTTACTTTCGACTCTAATGCCATCTAGTGAGAGGAATTAAGGTGACATTCGACAAAAGTTTTGGGTGCAAATGAGAATTGGAAAGTTTGGTTAATTGGTTGATAAAGTTGCAACTTTAATCACCCACATTACTTGATACAATCGTTAATTAGTTGGGTTGGAGAGAAACCTTTTACCAAGTAAATCGGTCGTTAACCGAATTAAATCTGATTGTGATTGAAGTTGTACGAATTGTTGTTTCATAAGGTTTCCTCTAAATCTAATTGAATTTATATTACTTGCGATTCAATTCTCAACGAATCCATAAATTAATTGGTGAGCAATTAGTCTTGATTAAGATTGAGGTTAAATCATAAATTGATTATTATGTAATCTTGTTAAATTGTCTTCTAATTGTAATCAATCATTATCAGTAACTATGAGGTAATCTATTGAATTTAATGAAATTAATTATTAATTTAAAGAGACAATTTAAAACTGAGATTAGTTACTTTGATTTAATAAATGTAATAAGATTTCCATAATTAGTGACTAGAAATAATTATCGACACAGTTTCTTTTTCAAATTGATTCGTATCATGGTAATTTTTTTTAATTACTGATTTTTCATTAGTTAATCATGGGTAAGGATGAATCTATATTCCTAAACATGGACAATTTAAGTGACACAGAATTACATCTTGTGTTGAATTTAAATTAATTATGAACGAGTTATTCAATTTTGTGACGGTTTTATTTTCTCAGGCATTCGGGGCTTTTTCAGTTATCATTATCTTTGGAATTAATTATATTTTTAATTGTAACAGCTGATTAATTATTCATTTTTCGCCTTTTCCTTTACAGGTTATCTTGTTGTTGTTCAGTTTTGTTTTCTTGCTTCTCTTTTCAAAGTGAATTTGGATTATCTTTTGTTATTCTGATTACATTAATTAATTAATTAATGGAATCAAATATTTACTCGTCATTTGGATTAATTTTTTTTTGCTTCTGGTCAGTTAATTAAGATAGTCTATCTTTCTGCTGGTGGTCTTGCTGATTTCATTCATTTCTCTTCGTCTCTTGTATTCTAATGTGTCCCAACCTATTTCAAGTGTTTACACTTTACTTTGAGTGAACATCGATCATTTGATTATCTTTTAATTGTTTCCAGCAAATAAATCATGTAATCGTAAGCTCGACAGTGGTAATTTAACGATTCATGATAACGATTTGTACAGGGGTATTCAGCTATTCAAACAATTTTACCAATGTTTCTTGCGATTTTCTAAGCAATGATGAGTCGCAGAGACTCAACACTTGATTGGTATGTGTACGAGCAATACTCAATTGTCATATTGAAAGATCAAAGTCATTCAGGTCATTTCTAAAAGAAAGCGGTTCAAGGTCATCTGAAAGGAGATGGTCTGTTTTTTTTGTTAATCCATTTCCGTTTCTATCGACCCTCCATTTATTTATGGCTTTAGTTTTGGTTTAACTAGTGGTTCAACTTTAGATTTATCACCACAAGAACCTAACCTAACCAATGAACTGTGTGACAAACACCTCATATAACATATTCTCTCTCATGAAATTATCTTCAGATGACCTTGAACTGCTTTCCAGAAATGACCTGAATAACTTTGATCTTTCAATATGACAATTGAGTATTGCTCGTACACATACCAATCAAGTCTTAAGTCTCTGCGACTCATAGTTGCGTAGAAACATCGGTAAAATTGTTTGAATAGCTGAATACCCCTGTACAAATCGTTATCATGAATCGTTAAATTACCACTGTCGAGTAATCGGTCAGTTGAAATTTTTGTTTTCAACATAACGGATGTTTTTTTTGTTTAAATTCCAAAGATATTTCAGCAAAATATTCATCATGGGTGATGTTATCAATCCTCCATCTACACCTATTTCCCGACATTTCAGTCCTAATTTTCAGAAAATTTGTTTCTAATTGAAGCTTATAATAATAAAGTAATGGCATCAGTAAAATTAAACCAACGACAAATTTTTGATTTTTGATTTTAATATTTTCGATTGGTATTAGAACCCATTGTAAAAAAACCGTAGCAGCTCCATGACCATAATCTTTGGGTCCAAATAACCTTCCAAAATAAACCTTACAGTACAAGGCTATTTTTACCGATGTTTCTTGCGATTTTCTAAGCAACTATGAGTCGCAGAGACTTAAGACTTGATTGGTATGTGTACGAGCAATACTCGATCGTCATATTGAAAGATCAAAGTCATTCAGGTCATTTCTGGAAAGCAGTTCAAGGTCATCTGAAGATAATTTCATGAGAGAGAATATTCAGTAACACTAGTGTAAGGTCAAGTTAGGTTAGGTGTTTGTCACACAGTTCATCGGTCAGGTTAGGTTCTTGTGGTAATAAATCTCAAGTTGAACCACTAGTTAAACCAGAACTAAAGCCATAAATAAATGGAGAAGCGAATGGTACAAATAGAAACGGAAATGTCGTGTTTCAATTGCGCTGAATGTCATAAAAGACTCGAATCAACAACACTCTGTGAAAAAGAAGGGGAAATCTACTGTAAAAGTAAGTCAACAATACGAAAGTATCAACATGTAGTTGAATCATTTGATCGTTTATTCAATTGTCACCATTGATTTTAATTCAATTTGATTTTCTTTTCTTTTCTTCCAATCAGCTTGTTATGCTAAGCAATGGGGACCTTCAGGTTATGGTCATGGTATTAATCCTGGTGTTCGTAAGGTCGATTAATCGATTGATCCACTGATTATCCGAGACCAATGTGCTTAATCATTCAATCAAATCATCTCGACGCACGAAAGAAATTAAATTGTGATTACCACTTCAATTTGTTTTCCAAAGTTACACATCCACGAATCTGATTAGAACCATTTTTCCAAACAATTATCATTCCTTGGGGATCATCATTTTGCTTGATTAATTAATTCCAATGATTCAAATAACAACAGCTCAACTATTTAATTTAATATGACGAAAGTGTTGATCATTTTTTTCTTCACCTAATTAAAAATCAATTTCGAGATGACCATTGATAAGTAACTCGAAATACTTGAATTAACTAGTAAAACCAGTTAGTTGATTTCACTTTTTTGTGACTTGTATTTTCAACGAAACAGAAAAATTAGGAAGTAATTTAAGCCCTTGAGTCGCAATTTAATTGTTGGAGGCTCATCATTAGTTAATTAATCAACATCTGATCATCGGATTAACTGTGGATAAGAAAAGAGAAAGTGTAACCAATTAACACAAATAAACTAAATAGATCAACAATTTAATTCTATTCTTTTGATTCTAAAAGTTAATACAATTGTCTCATTGTTAACTTTACTAACAAAAAAAAGGAAAATTAACATTTAAACAAAAGAATTAGTTAATTGTAAACATTAATCAAGGATAATCCAAAGTAAACAAAAGATAAACAATTAACAGTAAAACTCACAAATGAATATTACGAATCCAATTGGATTTACAAAGAGACTTCCAGACCTACACGAAGTTTATTATCAAAAGTTGACAATTATCACAAATCATTGGAATTAAAAAAAAATTGATAAACAACAATTAACTTTTGATGAGAAAATTTTTTTTACAAAAAAAAATGATCAAGTTAAGAGGATTTTCTGCCACTAGATGGAAGCACAACTTCAATTTCTTTCGAAAACAAATAATTTTAATCGTCCAGGATGATTTGAATTATTAGGATTAAATTAGAATTAAAAAGAAATAGCTGAAATCATCAACAACCTAATTAAAAGAAAAGATTTTCCAATTAATTAGATTAAATCAGTTGATTAAAAAGCTGCGAACGACAAAGATTAAGTTCCCTCTGGTGAGAAAAAAAGGAAACTCTTTTTCTCTCTTCAGGTTTTGTTTTGTTTTGGAAACTGAATTTGATTCATGAACGAATCATTTAGTTGCCTGGTTAGAGAGGTTTAGTCATTTATTTATTAGAATTTGTTGAATGTCCTTGTCGATAAACTTCATCAAGAATCTTGATCAATTGCCAGTGTTATTGACAATTAATTTTCCTCTCTAAATTGATGATCAACAAAAGTGCCCATACAAAAAAAGCCTCAGAAAAACACCAAACCCACCGGAGAGTAAAAAAATCAACACCTTGTCTTTCAATTATTTTTTATTCTATTCTCTCAACTTTATTCTTTTTTGTGTTTATAAATTAATCTAAATTATTACCAATCGTAATCATGGTTGACTCGACAATTGAGAACAGTTCTCAAGCAAATTCTATCAAAAATAACAGTGGTCGTAAAAGGATAAAAGGTAAGAGTTAAATTTGTTGATTCTCTGCTGGTTTGACCCTCTCAGTGTCTTTTACATTTTCTATTCTCTTGTTTTGATTTTATTTCTTTGTTTTAATTTGTTTTATTTTTATTTTGTTCTTTTTATCCAATCAACTGTGATCTCCATTTTCTTCTTATTATTTTGGTCTATGATTATCTTTGGTTGATTTGTTTTTGATTTGATTCCAATTTGATTGTTGCACGTTAATCTTTTCTGTCTCTGTCTCACTAATGACAAAGGCAATTTAAGTTATCGCCATCTTTATGGCAATCCCAATTTACGTTTCAATGGTAAACCTCCTTCCTCATCCGGATTAATTAATGGACATGAGAGTCCAACTCACTCTTTTATCACAGATGTAGCTGATGTCCGGCAAATGGAACAAGGATTATTAAGATTACTCAGTGATTTTCATTCTGGAAAGTTACAAGCCTTCGGTGAGTAAATTCATCTCATGTTTTCTTAATCCATCATCACCATGCTCTCTCTCTCTCTTTCTCTCTCTCATATTTGATTACCTCATCTTAAGTCAATAACATTATCGTAGTTAGAATTGGCTCCAATAATTGATAGTCGATTGATTGATTAGTCTGATGATCAGTTTAACTTTTGACACAATATTTACATTATCGTCAATACATTTATGATTAGTCTTGGTTCATTTGATCAATGAAAACTATTATACTAATTCAAATTATCTATCCACTTATCTAAATTGGTGCAACTAAATCATTTAATTTAATTTAGTAATTGTCTTTGCTTTCCCGGAGACAATGAACATTTTAATTGACTACAATTTGTAGCAATTTACTTTTATGTGATTATTAACATTAACTAAATCAACTGACATTGATTTCAATCAGGTATATGACTTCATTTTTATTTTGTTCACTTCTAATCTGAATAATATATAAACAAATCTCTAGGAATCATTGTTCAAATGATTGATTTGTTTGATTGATTGATGGTTTCCAATTCTAATTCACTCTTCTGATTGATTAACCATTAATACATGTTATCATTATTGTTTGTAAATCAAAATTTTCTATTTCACTGATTATCAATTATTGTAATTGTTGTTTATTTCCATGTCTAGTTAACTAAAATTTATCTCTTTTCGAGGATGAAAGTCAATTAGAGTTATTAGTTAATTATTTCTCGATAAGTGTTTTCCAATCGTAACAAAATAAACTTGAACAACAATCGTTTCCTTAAGTGGACATTATCAAGGGTGTTCATCATTCTCAGTACATTTCCCCCACCAGACAATTAAATTAATTGTTGCTCTCACCACAATCAAAAAGACCCAGTCAAGCTTAACTAGGGTTCCCTCTTACCCGCTGATTGTTACTAAATTGTTTACTTGGGCCCGTTACTGATTGACTGGTATTTTTTTTTTCTTTTCTCAATGAAAACGCCAATTCTATTTAAAGAATTTCCGTCAAAAAGCAATTTTGAAGAAAAAAAAGTAAATTCAGTGATTCTATTGTTATTCACAGGCTATCGTTGCGACTAATTGTAATCATCAGCATGAGAAATGTTCAGAAATCATCCCAATGAAGATTGAATGAGTTTCTTTGCGGATTAGTGTCAATCTATTGGCTTAATTGTCAATTTAGTAACTGCTAAGAGGTTAACAGTTAATCATTTTCTCAATTTTTACCAATTTGTCTATCATTTAGTTATATTGTTAGACTAAATTGCTATCATGATATATTATTATTTTCCATTCTTGTTTTCTTAATATTGACAATTTTTAACAACGTTAATTACTCATTCATATAATTAAGGTGGTTATTACAATCGTTGAAATAAACTACAATCAAAGTGATTGGTGAATTGAGTTCGTGTCATGGTGATAATTATCTCGTTACTTTTATGGTTCAAAGTTATCATTTTTTTACATTAATGGTAATAAATAATTGACTTGACAATCAAACAATTAACTCTCAACAATAGAAATTGCTTATTGGTTGTAAATTATTTCAACAATATTATAATAGTCTCATTAATAATCAAATGGTCAAGTGATTTGAATGATTATTTCATTCCCATGTAACAGATTAGTCAAGCTCATCAGTGTTGAAAAAAATGTTCATCATCATGAATTTACTAGTTAATATGAATATGAATTAATAATCAATATTTTTTCCTTATTGTAAAAAGTTTCTTCTCATGATTATTTAGGAAAATACTAAATCACTTTGATTATGATTACCTGTATTTAATTGTTAGACTTAAACCGGTTCAATACATTATTGTACATTAGATACAATTAGTTCATTAACCTTCTTACCAATTTATGTTTATCATGTTTTAGATAATAATTAATTATAATCCCTAGCAAACAGCATTCGATCAATGAGAATTAATCACTTTTCTTAATCATTTTCTTAATCATCTTCTTAATCTTCCCAACAGGTCAAGATATAACCTTTGAGAAAATGGAAAGTGTCAGAGAGCAGCAAGAAAAACTTGCTCGACTTCATTTTGATTTGAACAATCAACAAGAATTGTAAGTAATTTATCCATTGATTAAATTAAAGTTGTTTGCAACTAATTAGCAATTAATCACTTCGTTAGACAAGACACTGAGGATGGACGTCGTTTAGCCAAGGAAAACATGTCCAAGTTAATTGAAAGTGTAAGTGTTGATCATTTAATAACATTTAACAACAGTTGATTGAGTTGATCATTATTCTCATGATTAATTAATTCTCTTCTCCTTTTACTGTTTCTTTATTTGCTTATTTAGCTTCAACAATTAAGTTTCTCAATGTAAGTGTTTATTCAATTAATGATCAATTTTACCTTCAAGTCATTGTATCACTTTCGGTAGGAAGTTTATGTTAATTGTTGTTACTCTTTAATTACAATCTATTATTATATCGTATTAATTTAATTCCTGTTTAAATTAATTTATTTACTTATCATGAATACTTTAATTCTCATTATTTAACTGTTAACAGGTTAATTATTTGAGCGAAATCAAAATATATTTAGTGTATTTGTTTCCCAATTTAGGATTCATTTTGTTTTCAAAGTGAAACAATTAACAAATGACCTGAATGGTTAACACAATCATTTGGTTGGTAAAAAAATTGGTCATTAATTGTAATTGGAATAAAAGAACAATTAATTAATCATCATCTCTGAACTAATTGATTCCGTTTTCATCTCTTTTTCTCCAGTGAACAATTACAATCTCGATCAACTGGAAGGACATCAACTTTCAAAACTTAATTATTCAACTTTAATTGTGATACTCAAACAATCATATCTCGTTACTCGACAATCTATTTAATCTTCTAATGGACTCGACTGATCATGTTACCAGAATCAGAGAAACAATTGAAAGAAGATCGTTAATCTTAATTTTGTTACTTTTAATCGGCTCTTTTTGGTAACCAAATTTCCTTACCTGTGATTATTTCATCATTATTCATTTTGATTCATTTATTTTCCTTAATCAATTTTTTTAATCATTTTCGTTCCCTTTTTTTTTGATCCAAACAACATGAAGAACATGGGAAATAGTGTATCATGAATATTGAAGACAAAGAGAATAAATTTTTTCTACTAATGTAATTTTATTACAAGAAAAATGTAATTTTCACTTTTGGATTGTAATCGATTTAATCTCATTCACTTTGATTAAGTGAGAGAGATTGATTATGATTAGAATTTTTTTTTGGCAAAAAAAAATGATGTAAAAGTGGAGAATTAACTGGAATTAATTTGATCAGTCAATCGCAATTGTTTCTTACATAATTGTTGAGATATTAACAGGAAAGAGGTGAGTTTTTGTTTACTGTTTTAGGCTTTTCTGTTGTAATTCTTGTTGTTGACTTTCCTCTTTTTGGAAATTGATTAGTGCTAAATATTTTCGTCTCATCATAATTTGTTCAGCAATTTTCTCAATCTCTTTGCTGAGAAATTCAACTTTACGTTTAAAATAGTCAATAGCGGCCTCTCTGTTTCTTTCAATGTAATAACCTGTTCCAATGTCAATCAGAAATCTATCATTGTCTGTGATCCTACCATTCACATACATGGAGGCTGTTAAAGGTACTAAAATTTCAGAATTTTTTGGTACTTTGACTTGGCTAGCGACACATTCACCCAGCTCCTGGAACTTGGTTCGAGCATTTTGATGTTGTTGAATGGAGACAGCCAACAGTTCAACTTCCTAAAGTCAAGATACACGAAAAAGAAACAAAAAATCACATTAAATCAATCGAATTCGGCTAATTAAAACATAATGGCAATAAAACTCTCCTTTTTTTTACCTTTTAACCAAAAAAATGAGAGAAGTAAAAAGATAAGATGACAAGACAGAAAAAACTGCTTACCTGTTCAAGTTGTTGTTTCAGTTCAACTGGTAATTCAGGAGCGGCCATTTTAATAAATAGAAGGTAAAAATTAATCACTAATTATAAAGGAGACAAATTTAATTAACAGATTAATTAAAACCGAGGTTTTTACAAATTTAGAAAACGTTTAAACCTCAACAGCGAATTTTCGCTCCTCCTACCGGCTGAAAAAAGAACGAAGGTTAAGCGCTAAATTCAATTTTCGATGGAACCCAAAATTGGGATCAAACTTTTTCGAGAGAAAATTAATTAATTGGCAACAATTAGGGGAATCGATTTTGTTCCGAAAATAATTGATAATTATTATTACAGTTGAAGAAGGAATTTAATACTTTATTTTCACAGAAAAAAAAGTTACACAAGTTACATTAGAATAAATTACACAAAAAGTTGATTACAATTTCCATCGATTGTATTAAGATGGTTAGTTAATTGCGCTATTTGATTTTATTCTGACGATAATTAAAACCATTTCTCATCTCATATCGACGTTTGTACATTCGCCTTAGAACATCTTTGCTTTTTTCTGACATTTCGAGAAAACCTTCAAATCCTTTATTCAGCATCTCATTTAATTTCATCACTCGTTTCTTCAAATCTTTCTCATCTAATTGTGGAAAATAATTGCCACCCTGATTAGGAAAATAGCCCCAACTTGTACCACTAAATGACCTTAAAGAGCGGAAAAATCGATCACTCGATTTTTTATAATCTTTTAAACTTTCTTCTAATTTCAATCCTAATCCAATCTTAGCTTTCGTCAAATCGGCCTCAATGTCCTCCATCAATTCATCGTACTTAGAAAAAGCATCTTCCAGTGTGGACGAATCACCGGAACCTGCAAATGTGGACAGAATTCCGGAAACAACGGCAGTCCCTTTATCTACACGACTCTTAATCGCCTCAACATCAACTCCATTCTTGACCTTTACACTTTTCCCACTGAACTGACCAAGGGAAAAAGTCCCTGAGGCCATTCTTGGCTTAATTAGTTCGGGTGAACTTGTTGTTAACATACCGGCTAATTGTTGATTCCTCAGTTGATCACCATCTCTGTCCACTGATTCCTTAGCCAACACTGAAAATGGATTAACACAAAAGATTAATAATAAAGATCAACAATTAAAAACTTTTCAATTTGATGAATACCTGAAGAAATCAGAATCCAAAGAAACAAGGAAACAAAATTAACTATTGATTGTTGATTCATTTTTCTTATTGATTTTTAACTTTCACTGTTATTAAGAAAATTAAATGACCGTTAATTGTTGTCAACACTAAATGAACATTAATTCACTGATTTAACCGTTTAAATAGTGGATTCATATTCATCATTGTTTACATTTAAAGTGAAGATGGTGAAAGATTTGCATCAGTTGATCCATTGGCCTTAGAATCTGTTGATTTAATTGTTGTCGTTTTCTTAATTGCTCTCCAAAGTATAATCAACTTTTATCCTCATCTTTAAGGTTTCACGGTGAATTTACAGCCATGGGAAAAGACTCTGATTAATACTAATCAACGATAAACAATAGAGTGAGCAATTGATTGTTTATCTTCATCTTTAATCATAAAAGTAAAAGTTTTTCTCCCTAATTGTTGATCGTAATTGTAATTTATTATTATTATTTACTATCAAGTGTTAAGTGATTTCAACAATAACATAAATGATATTGAAGCGGAACCAGAACAGGAATTAGTTAATTTCAAGTTTATTATTATTTGTATTTAATTGTTTGTTCATCTTTACGATTGACAAACAATTTTCTGGTCAAAATTTTCTTCTTGATTGTCAATTAATTGCTGACATTTGAAGAGCAATTAATTAATTCTCATGATTAGTTTACTTTGTTGAGAGATGAATTTTGTTTTTTCATCAAAAAAAAAATTGACAAACTAATTATTTGGTTGAACAGTTAACAGAGAGATTGAAACAATTTACCGCTCAATTGATCTGTGAATTTAAAATTAACTTTAATCATCACAATTAATAAACAACAATCAAAAGCACCCATAGGATGAAACAATCAACCTAAAAATAACCTTCATCATCAATCATTACAATTGTCAAGTATTTTAACAATTCCGTTGATTGTTGAATCTAAAATTCATTGACCATTAAAGTTAATTCAGTTAGTTGTTGATACTAAGTTAATTTTACTTTGGTTAAGTAATTAATAGTTTCTAATCAAGTATTGTAACCAGCAAATTGTTGGGATGGAATGATTAATTGTCTGGATTTATCTGTTAACCAATAAATCAATCAATGATTAGGATAATTGATTAGCTTGATTGTTGAAGCTCTTTTTTTGGATTTGAATGTTAATTTAGATGAGCAATTTAACTTTGAATGGAAAGGCTTGAATCGTTAATGTGACGCACTGATTGTCCTTGGCATCTTCATCCTCATCTTGTTAATAACAATTTAGAGTTAATTTTGTAGATTCAGTTATTAATTACGACCTGAAGGAGAGGTGGAAAACTTTGAGAGCAAAAATAATTTTCTAAATAACAAGTTAAATTGTTGAGAGAATACGAAATTATTTTCGAACCTTTTTCTTCAGGTCTAATATACTATTAGTATATTCCCCTAAATTAAGTTAATTGACTTGATGCCAAACTTGTAAGTCTAAAGCTTTTCTTAGGTTAATATGGTTTGTCTTGTTTTCTGATTATTTCAATGTTCAATTATCATGGTGATTCTTTGGGTGGAAATTGAGTAGAAGAGAGTAAAAAAATTCTGGTTACATGTTTGAATAAACATAAAGGATGAAGAGGAATGAATAATTTCCCATAAACATTTAGTAGTAAATGCAATCCATTATTTATTGTTATTGGCAATCGTTATGAATCACAATCGTTGTTAAATTGTGATTGTTAAGTCGCATCTTCATTTGTTATTGTTGGGACTGTTTTCGGTTAATTATAGCGGAATGTTTGTGAACCGCGTTGACAAATGTATTCAGACATTGGGGATTAACATCAGGGTAAATCCCATGGCCTAAATTGGCGATATAACGTTTGGTTCCAAATGCTTCGACCATTTCTTGAACATAACTATCAATGTCATCGACTTCACCATATAAGGCACATGGATCAAGATTCCCCATCAATGTGACATCTTTGTGAACCAATGAACGAGCCTTGACCGGGTCAACTGTCCAATCGATTCCGACAACATCATATAGATTAGGATCTGAGCCTAAAGTTTCAATGGCAAAGTGACCATGAAGTCCAAAGATAATCATGGGAACAGGTTCAAGTCCATCAGCTTTCAGTTTACTTTTAACTGTTTCCGCTATTTTCTTTAGGAAAGGATATTCAAAAGCATTGAACAATTTAGGTGTTAAATAGCCGAGATGCGATTCAAAGACCTGCAACAATTGAGCGCCTGATTTTGCTTGAAGGTATAAATGGTCAATTATCTTGTTGGTGATTAGTTCCAATAATTGAACCGATTCATATGGATGCTGGTAAAGCCATTTTTTAGCCTTTGAAAAGGTTTTTGATCCTTTACCTTCAATCATATAGCCCATCAGGGTCCAAGGGGCTCCAGCGAAACCAATTAACGGAACCTTACCCTCTAATTTGTGTCTTGTAAGACGAACAGCATCATGAACGTACTTCAATTCAGTAGAAATATCAACCGATTCATTTAATTTCTTAACATCAGCCGGTGTTTGAAGAGGTTCTGGAAACACTGGACCAACATCGGGAACCATTGTAACCTCCATACCCAAGGCCTGAGGGATAACCAAAATGTCCGAGAAAATAATGGCAGCATCAAGTTGAAATTTACGAATCGGCATCAGGGTCACTTCGGTGGCTAATTCAGGTGTCCTATAAGCGAAAAGGAAAACAATGAGAAACAATTTAATGATTGAAGATGAGACAACAATCGAATAGAATTGTGACAATTAATTAAGATTAAATACCTTACTTGCAAAGATCAAAGAAAGCATGATGTTGACGGATTTCCCTGAATTCTGGCAAATACCTTCCGGCTTGTCTCATCACCCAAACCGGAGAGAAATCAGTTGGTTCACCTTTGATTGTTTTAAGAATTCTGTCATTTTTAAGTGGTGGCCAAGGTTCTTCAACTGTTGCCATAATTGATCAACACAACAATTAGAAATAATAAACAATCAATTCACAAGAAATCACAATTAGAAGACACAAAATTCAATCAGCCACTCGCTTCCAATTTACAAGAAAAATCAACTCTGTCAATCTGAAGATTTTGATGTTAACATGAAGATGATGATGAAAAGTAGGTTGTTACTTTGATCTTCCTCATCCACCCAATATAAAACTTGCACCACATTTAAACACAATCATCGTTGGTAATTAGATTGTTAGAATTGATTGTAATTCACTTGTAATTCACTTCTAATTACACAATCTAAATGTAAACAAATTGTTTCTCTTTTTGTTTTGTTTTCCTTTTCTTTATGGTAACAGTTTCTTTTTCTGTCTCCTAATGATTAACACAAACTGAGAATCAATTGAAAAATTTGTTTTTCTTTTTCCATCACAATTAACTTTAACTAACCTTTGATCATCTTGATTTGTTTAATTCACTGTAAACAAATTATCAAACAATTTAATTCAAATCCGGAACAAATTGTTCAAACTTGTAATCACTTTCATCTTCTTGTAATTTCAATCATTGAAAAACAATATTTGGAGTAATTAAGGTTGAACAATCTAATAATTCCCTTGTAAACTCATTAATTGTTATCATTTAATTGTTTGATTACTTTTGTTATCGTAATTAATGTTCATTTAATCAGTTGGTTGAACTTTTAATTACTTTTCAATTGGAAAGTGAAAAGTTATCAAGTTATTGTTGTTCTTCCCAAAAAAAACCAATCAAATTCAATTAAAATGCTCACCTACAGATTTATTGACAGAAAAAATTATTAATTACAATTTAATTTCAATTCTAATTTAGTTTTTGATTTAATTTCGTTTGGAAAGAGTTAATTGATTTACGCGCTCAGAGAATTTCAGTTAATATTAAGATCGATCGATGTCGCTACAAGTTGTCAATAGCATTTAGAATTGGAAATGTTAGAAATTGAAAAATGAATCAAATCATTTATTGGAATTAAATTTGCTCTGATTAATTGTTAATTTCTTGCTGATCATTTGATTACAATTGATAAAAAAAGGTAAGTCTATTGGTTTGGCTTGATTTCTATTCCATTGGTGTTTTTGTCAACTTTTTACAATGATATTGATATTTGCTTTTCCATCTCTTTCTTTCATTGTATTTTTTTTATTCTCTTCTCTTTTTTTTCTTTCCACTTTTGGCTTTGTTATTCAGTTTAAAAGTAAATATTGTTATTGTTCAAACGAGGCCGTCAATGACTCCACCAACTCAACAACAATCACCAAATTCGTTTCTTGCCTCTTTGAGTGCGAGGCTCTTACAAAATCGTAACATGGGTGGACAACAACACTATCCAGTGCCCTCCCGTAGTGGTCCATTGACCGATTTGTTTGACGCAGCAACTGTTCACAATAATAATCTACTTGCCAATTTTAGAGCAGCCAATTCATCTCATTCCAATTTCGGTATTCCTACGGTCTCTGAATCAGGTCGAGGCCCACCAAGTGCCCTTGACCTTAGTGAATTTCCTTCTCTCAGTGGTGGGTCCGTTAGTGGCTCTTTGTTTAACTCAAATTCAGGAGCACCAGGTTCATCTCGTCCTCCTTATGTTGGCATGGTTAAAGATAATGTACCGACAAGTTCATCAAGTGGTGAATTTACTATTCTATCTGAAGATTTTCCAGCGTTACCTGGTTCTACGATCAATGTCCATTCAAATAGTGGAGGAAGTGGTGGTCATGACAATGTTAATTCTAACCAAAACTCGAGCTCAGGTTTACAAGGACTTCTTAATTCATCTAGTTCTGTAGTAGGTAATTCGCTTAGTTCCAATAGTGGTACCAGCGTGGGAAGAGAAGGAAACTCTGGTTCTGGAGGTCAGTCAACGGGATCAATCACAATTGGATCTTCCATTGTTAATACATCTTCAAATGAACCTTCATCCACAGGCGGTGTTTTATCTGGTAGCAGTGGAGTGATATCATCTAGTAAGAATTTAAAACGCGGGATCCAAACTAGTAAAGATGGTCGAGTAACAAACATACCTGCAGGAATGGTGACAGATCAATTCGGAATGGTTGGTCTATTAACGTTTATCCGAGCTGCCGAATCAGATCCTAATTTGGTCTCACTTGCGCTCGGCATTGACCTGGCTACCCTTAAGTTGGATCTCAATTCTCCTGAAAATCTTTACTCAACATTCTGTGGCCCCTGGTCTGATCAACCCCTGAAACCTCATGAAATGGACTATCCAGTTCCACACGAATACCTGATTAACAGTCAAATAAGAGAAAAATTATTGCCTATTAAGTTAAGTCGTTATGGCGATGATACTTTGTTCTTTCTATTTTACATGTTCTCAAATGATCTTATCCAAATCGCGGCAGCAAGTGAATTGTAAGTTGACCTTTTCTAGTTAATTGTTGACTCACAAATTCTTGTATCATTTTTTGATCTATTGTTAATCTTTGTTGTTTGATCTTTCAATTTTTCCTTCGATCGTGTAGATATGCTAGGGATTGGCGTTATCATAAAGATGAAAAAGTTTGGATCACTCGTGCACCAGGGATGCCACCGATTGAGAAAAGTCAAAATTACGAAAGAGGAACTTATTATTTTTTCGATGCCATCAATTGGCGACGAGTTGCCAAAGAGTTTCATCTTGATTACGACAGATTAGAGAATCGACCTGTAGCTGCCCCCTACTCTCATGTGGCTAATTTAGTGGGACAACAGACAACACCCACCGGTAGTTTAGTCTCTCTGTGAAAGATAAACGATAATTTTCTTTTCCCTCCATTCCTTAATCCCCGATTTCCCTCCCTTACTTTCCTTCACTACTTTTTTATTGTCACATTTGTAAAAATCAAGGAATAGATGAGCATTTTATGAAAGATGCACTTTTTTGGCTATTTGGTCATTTACTTAACAAGTTCTCTTTTTCCATTTCGCTTTCGAAAAAGATCAAATCCCATCGGTACTCAGCATTCAAATTTCTCACTCTTTCAACGGGATAAGAGACGAAACAAATTCCTCAAGTGACCTCGAATTACAGAAAACGGAATGAATCGTTTTCCGTTTCCAAGGTTCAGTGAAAGAATCGATAGTGGCAACATTGAGTCAACAACAAAATAAAGAATGTAAAGAAAACCACTAATCAAATACTTAGAAAGGAAAACAACAATTAAGGTGAACAATTACCAATTGAAGAAGCAAATCTAATCAATCCAATTTGATTGGAAAATAATCAATACCGACATAGAAAAGTAAATTAAGATCAGGAACAAGAACGATGTTTAATGAATGGAATGAATCAAACAATTTATCAACCACTAGTCTTTAATTTTTCTTATTCAAGGTTAATCAAAAGGTTTCAAAAGTGAGAATAGAAATAATAACAATAATTATAAATCGATTCAATTGATTTTCTAATTTACAACCTTATGTACAAAAAGTATTCCGATTGAGTGAGTTAATTGTTAAAAGAGTAATGTCCCTTTCCATCAGCTTTCATGGTCTTTAATTCAGTTGTAAATGAAGTGGACGTGTTGTTATCAACTAGTTTAGACTCGATTGTATTTCTCACTCCGATTCCAGTTTCGGGATCATGAGCAGCGACATTGATCATCTCAAGTCCATGATTAAGAACTTCTTTCAACGAATCGGCCAATCGAACCACCGGCGGCAATTCAGCGAGTCGAGGTGAGAAAATTTTCCCACTTCGTGACCTTTGAAGTGGAGATCGCGTGTAGATCGATTCATAAACAGGTCGAACGTACTCATCAGAGTCCGAAGAGTCACTAGAATAGTTTGACCTTCGCTTGGACCGACGACCGAACCATCGCCGCCCCCGCTTCTTGATCGGCTGTTGGTACTGTGGCACATATTTCGCCATCGTCATTGCATAACTTTCCGATTGAATCGATTCTTGTGAACTTTTATTATTCGGGGTAATATAAACATTTGATTTTCCCTTTTTAGTGTCCACAGTTAATTTAACCGGACCAACGATCTCTGGGTCGATGTTTAGTAAAGTCATTGATTCGCCCGAGGGTAAATATAAACTCTGCCGTGAACCCTTTGATGGACGCGATGAACTCTTCGGTGACCAACCAGAACTTTTAATCGAAGTCACTGATTTAGACTTTTGATATTCACTAATTGACTTTCGAACTTTTAAATTACTTTCTTTCTTCTTATTCCGAGCATTTTCCTTACTGTTGACACGATTGTTTTCTTGTGGTTGATTTGGTTCAAATATTTTGGAAATATAATCGCCCATCACAAAGTAGCAAGAGAATCAAATTGATTGAACAGGAAAAGATTAAATTTAAACTAATTCAATATTTAAAAGGGATTCTCAGTTAATCTTTTTCTAATTAGTATCCTCTCGCTTTCTGGTTTGATGGTTAATTACAATTAGAAATTTGTTGTTAAAGTTATAAGCAAAAGTGTTCATTTTTTTTTGGTTTCTTTTGATGTATACAAAAAGTTGATCACCATGAATTTATGGATGATTTTGTGATGAATTAATGAATCAATGATTGAAGTGGTTAAGGTTCCATCTCTTGAATATTACGCAAAAGATCATGAATGATGTTCATTGGCAAAGGAAAGGGAGAGAAAAAATTTAGGGACATTTCCGTTCCACTTGAGATTTTCCTCCTTCATCATATTCTTGTTTCGAGATCCACATTTGTTGAAATGTTCCCTAAGGAAAAAAAGAAGATAAAATTTGATAAATTCAATATTCTTAAATTACATCCAATCAACCAGAATTAATCTGCAATTAACTTACCAGTGAAGCGAGAATTGATCCTCCAATCCAAGCAGCATATCTACGTTCAGCTGTTCCAACTGGACTGAGTAATTTCAATCTCATACTCTGGAAAAAAAAGAAACAGAAACAAATTCAATGAAACAATTCAAGTTGATGATAATTAATATCAATCTACCGGTGGAGTTTTGGTTGATAAGTCTCGATTAAGTCGATCTGTGAATCCTTGAATAAGAGTATTTCCTCCGGTCACAATAACAGATCCATATAAAGCTGGTTTAATATCAACATCGCACATTCCAACACTCGTTGTAACAATTTGAGCAATTCCCATCACTGAACCAGGAACTCCTTTGATATTGGAAGGATCAAAAAGTGCTTCAGGAATTGAAAACCTTTCGGCTCCAAAATCTTGATTATAACCATTTGGAAATTCATAATGAACGGTAGGCATGTTCTCAATGGTCTCTTTATCATATGGAACATCATGAACTTGTAAGACACAAGCCTGGAAATCTTGAATAACCTCTTTAACCATGTAATTGTGCCAAGATTTACTAACTTCGGGTACATTGGTTTTCTTTGTCCATTTGGGAGGAAAACCTTCATTCACCGCTTCCTTTGAAGCGATTTGATAAGGAGCAACAATATCAATGTTATGCTCTTCAAAATATTGTCGACATTGCATTGTTATGAAATCTCCTGCTAATGGTGATTTAACAATCATCTGTTGAAGTACAAAACCATCATGGATTGGAACAGCTGAGGTTTGTGAGGCTCCTGAATCAACCACGATACCGGTTGATCTTCCATTGGCAAAAGCAGAAAGAACAGCATTTTTAACCAGAAAGAATGCCGGTATATTGTACTTTTCGAACATAAGCTCAGTTAATCTTTCTCTTTTACTTCTCACGTTCCACTGAAAATAATAAGAAAAAAAGAATTAGAAAATGAAAATGAGTCCATTTAAGATGATCTTCTTACAGCCGCTTCGGACATTAGAACAGGATGAAGTTTTGGATCAGATTTTATATGCTTTGAATAGACATGGTCCAGCATCTTTTCAAAGAGATCCCAGTCTTCAACTATAAAAGTAGAGGATAAATAAATTGATTAGTGAAAATGAATTTATCTGATGATCGATTAAAATTGTCACAATATGTTTGAGTCAAGACTGAAAATCGAAATGGAAGATCAGTTCTTTTTGTTGATCAAAAGAGAATCAAAGTTAACATACTCATTCCATCTTTAAGAAAAGTAGTCATCTCTACACCTTTCCTAGGAACATGAATAGACGTAGTATCGATGAAGTGTTTTCTCTGTGCAGTTGGAGCCGGTTGAGAATCAACTTCCATTGAATTGTCAGGAATTTCATCGAGATATCCAACCATACTTGGAATTTCAGCTTTCAATGAATCTTCCCAGCAAATCCTGCACGAACAGAATAATGTCCAATATCAAAGACAAGAGCACCAACCTCATCTAAATGTCAGAAAACAAATTCCAAATCAAATGCGTAAAGAGAAATTCAATTCACCATGAAAAAAGAACAAAAAAAATAAATAAAATGAGACAATATGATCAACAAAGTGATGAACAAATGAAATGTAAGACAAAAAAAGAAAAGAAAAATAAGATTCAAAGAGAATGACAAGTTAACATACCTCCTCCATATACCCCGCCACTCATGATGAAATCCTTTACAGTAAATAAGACTAATCAAGAATCCAATAATTTAATTGATTAAAACAAATTAAGTTAACTGATGAAATTAAAAACAAAAATAATTCATTTGAAATCTTTCAAAACCGGGTCTCGATTTCGGATCCAAATATCGAATCCAAAGATCCGCATATCTGATCCGAGAAAAAATCGATTCAAATTAAGTTTTTTAGTTTTCAAATTCGAATTTACTAATCCATGGGCACTTTGGAAATTTCCTCACCTTAAGTAAAATGAGACTAGTTGATTAATCAAACAACTACGAATCAAGCAATTAAACTTAAATTATCGGTGAAATACCGATCCCATGTAAAGAAGTTGGTACACTTAGAGCCATCTATTGAGAAAATAATCATAAGTGGAACTCGAATCGGTGATAATAATGTTTAACTTTTTCGCTCCTTATAAATTTTAATTAACTTTACCTGTGAATTTAAAGTTAAATTTTGTGTTATTGTAGTTCATCTTATCACATGATGAAGTATTAATACCTTCAAATGTGTTAAAAATGAAAAATAGACAAAGGATATAACAGATGAACACTGATTGAGGTCAACAAATTCAGTGATTGACTGGCAACCCCCCAACAATATCTACATGTATATCACCACCGAAATTGTAAAAACACAAAAAATTGGATTCATGCTTGATGAAAATCTGTAAGCTGAGCATCTAGCTCAGTGCCATCGGATCCTCACCCGGTGCTAAATGTAAAAAGCATTAAGGTTGAGGTGTAATAAATTCGATGAAATTGAACAATTTACTGAACAATTAAAAGATTATCTCTTTTTATGAAACTGAAATAATATCCACTTACAGAGTAATTCTTAATCTCTTTTTTCAAGTTATTATAACTAAAGATTGAATATAATACAGAAAGAGCCGATTTGATTCGAATATGTGATCATAGAAAATTTGACATTCTAATTGAAGTTCTAGAGAATTGATAACTTCAGGATATGAGTTCACTTTAGATCATTAAAAGTTCTTGATTTTTAATGGTAAGATTATAAGCTTGGTTCTATCGACTGTCTTGGTTAGAACTCGAAACTTTGTACCATTCGAAGTGAATAAAAGGTGGCAGCAGTTATAATTGTCGAATTCAGGGAAAGTTCTGAACAGAAGCTAAGAATCGAGAACTGAATTATTATCTGAGTCTGAGTTCTGACCAAGAATTGACTGCGTATAGGTTAATATTATCACAAAAAAAAACTTTTGACTAAAAGCAACTTTTGTTTGCGAACAACAAAAAGTGACAACTTTTAATTATCACTCTAATTAGTTAGTTGATTGTTTTACCTTGTTAAGTGTTCAACCAAAATGTTACCAAATTAATTAGCTGACAATTAAATCTAATCATCAACTATAAGCCAAAAATGAAAATAAAATGATTAAATATTAGACTTTGATTTTGAACATTTTGTTAATTGTGTAATTTGTGCCATCGACTGTAATTATAATCCCTAATCAACTTAATCAACTAATTGTAATCAATTGGAAACAAAAGTTATCAACAATTGATTTGTAATCAATACAAATTCATTGACTAGGAAATAGCAAAAAAAACTCGTTGATTGTGATCACAATTAAGATTGAATCTTTTTAACCAATTTTAATTAACTCAACCATTTTTGTTTACTCCAATTTTAAAGTGAATCAACTTTAATTACAATGGATTTAACCTTAATTATAATTAATATCCTTTCACTTTTAATGTCTATTTTTCAATTATGTAAGTAAATTTAATTTCTCAATTTTCATTAATCATTAATTAAACTTGACAAGTTTAATCTGAATAGTTAATGACAATTAACTAGAAGAAAATGAAAAAATGAAAAAATCCTACAAGAAATTGATCAATAATCAAATGATTAAACTTATTGATTTGATTTACAATTTTTCCATAATTAAATGAATACAATTTGGAAGATTATAAAATTTGATTAATTAATTGTCACAGTCACAACATAATTAATTAGTTAATTGTTTAGTTTTTTACCTTTTCTCTAGAAAAAAATAATAAATGATCGATAACAATGATTATGAATATCAAGTGAACTTTATTCAATGTTAATTTCATCAGAACTTTTTCTCGAAATTGTTTCTTATCGTTTTCATCAGAATGATAATTCCGATTCTCCCATGGAGATAAACCAATGATAATTTGAAGAAATGATGATAATGAAGGCGAAAACAGGCTAAGATGTTTTCTATGTAAATAGGTAATAATAGTTACCTTGTTAACTTTAGAATAGAAAAAAAAAGTTTTCGTATTCAAAGCAAGTTCATTGAGAAGAAAAAAAGAAAACAATAAATTAAATAAAGTTCTGAAAATTTTTTATTCTTTTACTCGAATTTTTGGTTCTCATTTCCGTTCTCTCTCATCTCTCTCTTTCTTTCCCTCTCGATGTATCATTATTATCATCATTAATATTCAAAGAGAAGAAGAAGAAAAGAAAAAGTTTGACAAAATTGTTCTAAAACTTTTCTTCGTTTCCATTCAACTAGAACTTTTTCTTTTTCGAACTTGAAAAAAAAACAATTTTCTCTTCTTTCAAGCTCAACATTCACAATTGCTTCCTTTTTCTATTAAAGGTACTAATGGATTAATACTAGAAGATGTCTATGTGCCTTCAGAAGTTCTGGTCGGCGATTCGGTTTGGCTAAACTGTACTTATGTCCTCCAAGGCGTCCAATTGTATTCAATCAAATGGTACAAGGATAATGTTGAGTTCTATCGTTATTTACCTCAATCCGATCCACCAAAGCCACAGGGAATTCCTTGTGATGGAGTATATTTAGATGTAAGAAAATTGAATTAATCAATTAATTTCTATTACCTGTAATGGTCACTTTAATGGTCAGTATTTTGTCCGAAGGAAAAAAACATGAGAGTTCAGTTTGTTTACATCGAATGACTTTCTCAATGATTAACTTTGATTCGAATCAATTTACTTGAACATTATATTCATTATGATACATTAGCTAATTGAATATTCAACTATTAACTTAATTCACTTAAGATTATTGTTAGTTGGTGATTTGTCTAATTAGCTTATTGGTAAAGTAACTTTGGTTGATTGTAGTTACCTTTTTCTCACGATGATGATTACTCGCATTTAATTTGGTTAATTTTCCAATGATTATGATTGATATTTGAGTGTTAATTTAACCTCAACATGTTTTCATGGTGATTCTCAAGTAATAATCAGGAAATGAAGGCAAATTCATATTGATCAAGTTCATGATGATCAATCACTTTGTTCAATATAACTTTTTCCCTTCTCTGTTCAATTGTTACAATCTCAGTAAATCAAATATATTATCGAGATGATTATGATTGTTGATTGTTGATGGTAGAGAGGTGAAAACTTTACTTTGATCGTTGTTGTCATCAGTTATTGTTGGAATCGTCAATCAACAACAATTCACAAACCTCATGACAGTTACTACATCATCAGTATCATCAAAGTAAATGTTGGTGTATAAATTATCATCTACTAGCCAAGTTGATGGAGATAAGAAAATTCAAAATTACCATGGGAACTCTGAGTATTCTTACACTAGAAATTCATTGAAGTTTCATTCAAAGTACTTATCACCATCATGATCAACTTTCATATTCATTGTAATAATAATAATGATGAAAACCATGATTATGATGATCAGTTATTGGAGGAAACTTTTGATTCACTGAGAATCTGAATCTTCACTCAATTTATATACAATTTTGTTCTTGATATTCAATATCCATGATGATTGAAAATTCTTGAAATTTTTCATGGAACCTCAATTTCGAGGTGATTCATTGATTTAGTACATAAATTTTCAGTCATTTATATTCAGAGAGATTTTGATTTCTTTTATCAACTGAGCAATTGTTCATTGTGTCAGATTTTACTCTTTATTGTGACAATTTGAGACTCAAAGTTATCACTGAATTTCTGGATAGAGAATCAACAAATTGTTGTCTAATATTTTTCATGATGGTGGTAAAAATTTTCTACCTTAATAGACAAATACGTTGACCACTACACTTCCACCATGAGGTGGGTTGAAAAAAAGAAATTCTCATTCAATTTCCTGAAAAGAATCAGTAATGAAAATGATTTTCTCCCTCTGAACTTTCAAATGATGATCATGAAATGGAAAAGTTTCCCCCTGAAAAACACGGAAACTCAAAATTTCGTTATTCTCTATTCACTTAAACTTCCACTACCTATCATCATGTTCATTATCTTCATGATGAGTAGATGATCATCTTTGTTTGATAAACACTTAAATACGATAAAACTATCAGGATGAGAAGAGGAAGATGAAAAGTGGGAAGATAAGAAAAATCTTTGCTCTTTTCTCACCTTCATCAGAATTTCAGTGAAATTATATTAGATGATGTTCACTGATTATCTCGGTGAAAATAGATCACTCAACTCCCACCACACCAAAGGTAATCTCTTTGACCTCACCCTCACTTATCATCTTCATCTTCAATCAATGAATCTTTTTCATTGCCATGACAAAAATTCAATTCAATTCAACTGAACATTGTTGAACTTTGATGAAAATTTTTCAATTGAAAACTATTCAATTGAATACAAGCCTGAATCAGAAAAGGTTGAATATTATTTTCCACTGACCTCTGGTCATTGTTAACAAAAAAGTAAATCATATTACTGACCATTGATTATCTTATAATGATTATCATTATTTGAAATATGAAGAAATAAAAAAAAATAATAATAAATCACAAAAGGATTACCATGATTAGATTAAATTATTTACATGGTTAGTTGATAATCAAGATGATTTATGGACTGACCAATTTAAATGAAATCAAAAGTTGTTGTCAGTTTAATTAACTTTATCTTTGCCAACACAATCAACTATCAAAAACATCAATAACTTTGTTATCATTTAATATCAACAATTTGATTTGCTTATCAATCAAAATTGTGTCATTGTGGAAACACAATCAACTTTGATTGATTACAATCAGTTGCAGTTAATTACAATTTAGATGATTTTTTTCTGGCTCCAGGTAAATATCCTGGTCCATCATGATTGTTGATTCATTTCCGGGTTTTGAGTATTAATTTCATGTATTTCTGAATATTTATAAATAGATTCACCTTCATATTATCATTGATTAATTTTATTAATAACAAAGTAACTGTTGATATCCTAAATTGTTGAAACTAATTGTTTATCAATTTTAATCACGTACAATCATCACCATTTTGGTTATACACTTTACAACAGTATCAACATGACAATCTCAGTTAACGACAAATTGAATTGATTAATCAAAATGATAAAAAAAAATGTTGATTCTCATAATTATCTTGATTAATCAACTTCAAACTTATCGCAACAATTAATCAACAGATAAAATGTCAAACCAATGACAACTATCAGGTTCCAATATCAATAGACTCAGAACAAACAATCGTATCACAATTTAGCTAAACAATTAACTTTCTATCAAAACATTAGCCACTAATAGCAATTAATCACTTTAAATGTTATCCACCCAAAGAAAAAAAATTAACAATAAAAAAGTGAATCAAAGATTGGGCGGTAAGAAAAATGAGTTCGAAGATGAAATTTTCCAAAAAAGAAAAGTTCTAATGATCTAACTATGATTTAATCGTAATTAGAATATAATTTTCTCTCGACAATCAATATGTACATGGAAAACTTTTCGTTTTTTATTACTATCAAATACTATTACTAAAAGATAGACTTGGAAATATAATATTCTGATAACTCTGAACAATAATAATTCACTGAAACTATTATACTAAGTCACTTTCCCAATGGTCATTTAATAATCATAATAATGATAATATATATTATCCTTCAATTATTACCATCAATGATATTATCCATTATTATCCAGGTATATTAATAACAATAATAAACATCAGGTAAAAAAAGAAAGAGGAAAAGAAAGAGAAAACACCTTTCGTGATAAAATACGTTTACCTTGAGTTTAAGGCTATAATCAAATAACCATGACCCTCGGAGTCTTGGAGTTAAAAAGTAATGGCTTTAATCATTTGGATTATTGTTATTATTATCATTTGAATTCTCTCCATCAACTAGACGGAAAGGTGAGGTGGAGTGGGAGGAAAGGAGGAGGAAGAGGTGGGCGAACATGGGGATCAATGGTAACAACCTGAGAAACTGTTTTCTTTCATGGGTCTCACCCTGATTTCTCATCATATGGGAGGATGAAACAATTATCCTCATCATGAAGACTTTGATTATTCAATGAGAGGATTGATTTTTCCGTAATTAAGGCTGAAAGATTGTGAAAGAATCTGGATGATCAATTGAATTGGATTGAATCAGTTTATGAATTTGGATAAATTGAAAACTCTCAGAAATTAGTATCATGATTATTTCAGATGATGATGATTATTATTATTCAGGGGATTTATTGAGTTAGGGAGGATTGAAGTGAGCTGATGATAAAGTCACGCAATAATTTGCTTCTCAAACGATATTTTAATGATAAAATCATTTTTCACTCAAAACATTTACTCACAACCAGAACTATTATCATTGTTATCATCATGATGATTATTAACCAACAAAATGACCCAATAATAAGACTTTACCTTTGCTTATCATCATCATCATCATCATCATTTCAACAAATGATTTTCATGATAAAAAATATGAACCAAGGAAACGTCCAAAAGTAAATAAAACAATTTATCCAACTCTTGAAACCTGAACAAGGTAAACATTAATATGATCATAATCATTATCATCATGATATTACTTGAGCAATGATTAGTTAAACATTATTATTAACTTGATCATATTTATCTTACTCTTCAATGATTACAAGGATTTAGAACTTTTTTTCTTCCCTTCCCTTCAATTCATTTTTCAATCTTTTAATCATTTATCCCTTGATTCTTAATCTATTCTGATTCCCTTGACGATGAGAAAATTATATCTCCAATAAAACCATCATGATGATAATAATATGTTTCCAAGTTAATCTTTATCATCGATTAACAATGAGGAAGTCATTGGCAATTAGACATAACTAATGGTTGAGAATTAACCATTTTAATTGTTCATTATGATCATAAAGACTAATATACAATCATAATGTTAATTGTTATGGAGAAATGGTTTTAATTTAAATAGTTAAAAAGGTGTTTTCTCAATGAATTAATTGTTATCCTCCCAATTTATAATTACGGTTACCTTTTCACTTTCATGATAAACATTTAATTGTCTCCAATTAATATAATCATCATTATGGATAAACAATTACCATAGATTGATAATTGGACTTAATTATCATTAAATTGCGTAATTTGAGTTGTCGATTCAGTTTTATAACTTTTATGGAAAGTTTCGAGTTCGAGTCAAGAAGGACAAAAAAAAAGTTCTAACCAGAAATTCATATTTTATCAAATGTTACAAACTCGATAATGTTGTAAACATGTAAAGAAAACAAGGTAACTTTAACCAATTGAATATTAACTTATGAAAGAATTTTAAAAAAGTTCTGATTCGAGAATATTGAAAGTTCATTCCGATGTTTCAATGTATTCGTAATGAAACATATTTCATCTTAAATTGGATTCTCTTCAATATTCACAATTCATATTCTGTATAATATTTTGATGATAAATTTGAGAATTGGAGAAAACTTTTACCTTTTTGTTTCGAGGGAAACTTTTCATTCTGATTGTTACATTGATTCCAAATTTTATCTAATCAATTCAATCTCATTCATTCAATTTGTATATCCACAACTCTTGAATATGAATATTTA